TAGGGATAGCAGAATTAGTGAAACTATAGGTGTTAATCATGTTAATTTGTTTCAAGTGTGAGACAGTGACAGGGTTGTAGTGCTTATACTTAGGCTAAGTGCTAGAAATGTGGTAATTGTTAAAATAAGGTAAATAAATCAGATTTATAATGGTAATGTTTGGATTATAAGTTAGTACTGGGGTCATTCAACCTATATGAGTACTTGAGGAGTAGGCCAAGATTTTGCAGAATTGTGTTTGATTAACTCCTCCTCAACCACTTACTATAATGGATAGTATTGTAATAGATAGGAGACTGGTTGTGTTTATTGATGGGAAAATTTGAAATATAATCAAGATAGGGGCTAGTTTTTGTCACGTGAGGAGAAGTGTGCCAGACATTAGAGAAGTTCCTTGGGTTACTTCTGGGACTCAGAAGTGAAAGAGGGCTTTTCCTAGTTTTATTACTAGGGCTGTTATTATTAAGGATGAAAACTGATTAAGTGTTTATTATTGTCCATTGCCCGGAGGACAGGTTATTGAAATGGATACCTATAATGAGAATTATAGATGCAGTTGCTTGTGTAAGAAAATATTTGGTGTAAGAAAATATTTGGTGGCTGCTTCTGTAGAGGGGAGATTTATTTTTTTAATCAAGATTGGGGTAAGAACTAGTATATTTATTCCTAGGCCTGTTCAGGTAAGAAATCATTAGCATTGTGATAAGGGTTCCTGTGAAAACAGTAAGGGAGATAATAAGTTGAGCTAATGGATTAATTAGTATGGGAAGGGTATAACCAACATTTTCAGGGGTATGGGCCCAATAGCTTATTTAGCTGAACTTACTTTAGGATGTGGTTTAATACATAGCACGGAGAATTTTGGAGTCTCAGGGATGGGTTCAATTCCTATAGTTCTAGAAATAAGAGGATTTTAACCTCTATTGTTTACTCTATCAAAGTAATTCTTTTGTCAGACTTATTTCCTATGCTTGGGGTGGAATGCTGGAAATTAGGACAGGCATTGAGACATATCATATGCAGAATGCTAATGTAAGTGGCTGGAAATTTTTTCATAAAAGGTATACAAGTTGGTTGTAGCGGAATTGGAGGTATGCTGTTCGGATTCATAAAAACTGGGCAATTAAAAGGAGGGTCTTGGTAATGAAATTTATGGTATCTAGTTCTGGTGAATACATAGTGTGTAATGCTCCTAGAAAAATGTAGTAGGGCATTTATTACGATAATATTCATATATTCTGCTATAAAGAAGAGGGCAAATGAACTTGCAGCATATTCAACACTGAAGCCTGAAACTAATTCTAATTCTCTCTCTGTCAAATCAAAAGGGGTTCGGTTAGTTTTTGCTTGTGTGGAAATAAATCATATTATGGCTAAGGGTCATGATGGTAGGAGCAGTCAGAGTAATTCTTGTGTTGTGATGAGTGCATATAAGTTGAATGAGCCACTTAGTAGTAGTACTGATAGCAGGATAATGGCTAGGGTGACTTCATATGAAATTGTCTGGGCCACATTGTAATGTACCAATTAGTATGTAATTTGAATTGGATGCTCATCCTGATCATAGAATGGAATAGACGGCTAGGCATGATGTGGCTAGAATAAATAGGAGGCCTATATTAAAATTAATTAGGGGATCGGGTATAGGTAGGGGAGTCCAGAAGAGGAGGGCGATAGAAAGGGCCAGGGTTAGGGCAATGATATAAAGCGTAATAGAAAACGTTGAGGGTCGTAAGGGTTCACTGAAAAGTTTTACTGGGTCAGCAAATGGTTGAAGCAGTCCATAGGGGCCTACAGTATTAAGTCCTTTGCATAACTGTATATAGCCTAAGATTTTTCACTCAGTAAGTGAGGGGAATGCTATAGCGATTAGAGTGGGAATAATAAATAGGAGAAGGTTAATTATAGGCATATTGTTAAGAAGAGGAGTTGAGCCTCTGATTGTAAAGTTTTACGTTTTATGCTATTGCCAGGCTTTGCCATCTTAAGAAACCCTGTTCTTGGGTGGGGTATGTGGTGATTTCCTAGATTGAGATAGCATCATTTATGGGGGGAGGGTGCTTTATGAAGTTGGCCCTGTTTCTCTTGTCCTTTCATACTAGGAGAAATGTTAAATAGATAGAAACCGACCTGGATTACTCTGGTCTGAAATAGATCATGTAGGACTTCAATCGTTGAATAAACAAACCTTTAATAGTGGCTACACCATTAGGGTTTACGACCTCGATGTTGGATCAGGACATCCTATTATCGATACGATAGAATAGGATTGCACTGTTATCCCTAGGGTAACTTGTGCTGTTGATCAAATTATTAGGTCAATGTGTATTAACTCGCTTGAACTAGTGCGGTCTTAGTTTAGGTTGTTCGGAGGTTGAATATGCTATGAGGTCACCCCAACCAAAATTTTTAATGCAGAGATAGTAGGTTAAGGCCTGTAGGCTTTTTGAGTTTTTATTTGCATTAATTAATTAAAGCTCCATGGGGTCTTCTCGTCTTATTTGCTTGTAACTGCCTCTTCACCAATAGGTCAATTTCACTGATTAAAAGTAAGAGATAGCTGAACCCTCATGTGGCCATTTGGTAAGTCCCTATTTAGGGAACAAGTGATTATGCTACCTTTGCATGGTCAAGGTACCGTTAAACATATGTCACTGGGCAAGCAGTGCCTCTAATACTGATAATGCTAGAGGTGATGTTTTTGGTAAACAGGCAGGGTTAGATTTGCTGAGTTCCTTTTACTTATTGTAATCTTTCCTTAGAGCATGCCTGTGTGGGATTAACAGTATAAATAATAGGGTGCTTATTGTAAAATATTTGGCTGTTAACTGTCAGTGGGTTATTCCGGTCTGATGTAAGCTTATGCAGTGGAGAATATTTTCATGTTATTTATATTAACATTATTGCTTCTATTAAATAATGGATGTTGAGTTTGAACGCTTTCTTAATTGTTGGCTGCTTTTGGGCCAACTATGGAGATATTATTTTGTACTCTCTGTAGGAAGGTTGATTCCTAGGATCTAAAGAGCTGTCCCTCTTTAGATTAACAGTTAAACTTACAGGGAGATTAAGTAATTCTGTGGGTAAATTTAAAGTTGAACTAAGATTCTATCTGGACAACCAGCTATCACCAGGCTGGGTAGGCTTAGCACTGCTACTCATGAATCTTCCCACTATTTTGCCACATAGGTGAGTATGCTCTTTCAGCCATTCTTGTGTAGCTCGTTTAGTTTCGGGGGACTTGGCTATGGTTCTCTGTGTAAAGTTATTTCTACTTAATACTTTATGCAGAAGGTATAAGGGCTTGCCTTTGCTTTTTAATGCTTGGCTCAGTTCTTTCATCTTTCCCTTACGGTACTGTATCTATTGTGCCAAGATAAGAATTTCTATTGCCTATACTTTTGTCTAAGGTTAATGGTTTAGGATGGTTTAATAATATTTTTAGTGGGGCTAGGGTTGGCTCAAAGTGATCAGGTTGTGATGAAATCTTCCAGGTGTAAGCTGGATGCTTTAGGTTAGACAAGACTTTGGTTTGTCCAAGTGCACTTTCCAGTACACTTACCATATTATGACTTATCTCCTCTATTCATGCGTAGAGAATTTAAATATTTCTAGAATGATATTTGAGGAGGGTGACGGGTGGTGTGTGCGTGCTTCATGGCCTTATTCAACCAAGCACTCTACTCTTGGTTTACTGCTAAATCCTCCTTGAGCTCTTAGATTTCATAAAGGTTGTCATGAAATTTTCTGGGGTAGAAAATGTAGCCCATTTCTTGCCACCTCAGGAGCTACACCTTGACCTAACGTTTTTATGTATTTACTTGTGCTTACTTTATAACCTTAGGGGATTATTATCATTAATAACAATCAGAGTTGTAAAACAAGGTTATCCTATTAGAGCACCTAATTAACTCAATTAAGCACCTAGCAATCGGCAGTATCTTCGCCAGATTCCTCATCACTAACAGTATTATTCCTACTTCATCCCCCAAACAGATATACCACTCCACCTAAAGCTCACAGCCCTAGGTGTAACCACCCTAGGTCTCTTACTAGCAATGGAGCTTAATTTCATAACTAACAACCTTAAAGTACCCATTATAGACATTTAACTTCTCCAATATACTAGGTTTTTATTCAGCTACAATTCACCATTCAACCTTCAGAAGCCAAAATCTAGCTTCACTTCTAGACCCAGTTTGACTAGAAAAGTCTATACCAAAAACCATTTCACAAACCCAAACTTCAGCCTCTGTTACTGTATCTGCCCAAAAAGGCCTAACCTCTACTATTAATTATCTAATCTATTACCCTGAGTAATTTCAATTGCAACAAAAATACTAACAATGATCAACCAGCAACCACCACTAACCAACACCCATAACTATACAAGGCAGCCGCACCTACAAAATCCTCATGAATCAACCCCTCCCCCTCAAAAATTAATCAACTCCCTACACTATTAAAATCAACTGTGATCACCACCCCATCATATTCAACTATTCACCAAACCAACATCAACTCTATTAATAATCCTAATAATAAAGCCTCTCAAATATCAGTACTTGACCTTCATGTTTCAGGATACTCCTCAATAGCTATCACCAGAGTATAACCAAAAACAACCATTATACCACCCAAGTAAATCAAAAAGACTATTAACCCCATGAAAGCCCCACCAAAATTCAACACAATACCACAACCCACAGCACCACTAATAATTAGCCCTAAGCCTCCATAAATAGGAGACGGTTTTGAAGAAAAACCTACAATCCCTATAAACAAGAAAATACTTAATAAAAATAAAGCACATGCCATTATTCCCATGTGGACTATAACCATGACTATAAGACCTAAAACAAAAAGGTTAAATGTAAGACTTAAAAGACCTAAATGTTCACTGTTACTGTAAATACAGAAATGGCAAACTATTAAATAACAACAATAAAGTTTGAAGTCTGTGCTGTAAAATTTCATTTATCATACTGAAATATACTCACCAGAATATGGGACTTTCACCAGGTTCTTTTACTTTATAGTATTCTTTGTCTTGTGGCAAGACTTTGGTTAACCCAAAATCTCCAATTTTAACTCTGTTCTCATTCTCCACCAATATATTTCTTGTTGCCAGATCCCTGTGGATATACCTTTTTGTACCAAGATATTCCATACCCTATGGATAAAACATGTTTCTTTCAGCTAGTTTTATAAACATAAACAATTTAAATGGTCTTAACCCTATATATTCCCTTTATTATCTATGAAAAAGTCTAGATGATTTCCTAACATTTACTTCAATATGGTTGCTTCATCTACAGCAAATAATCAGGATATTAGGTACCTTGCATATCTGAGATGTGTACTGCAGAAGTTTTTTGTGATCTATCCGTTCTTTATGTTTTTGAAGATAGTCTCGTAAACTTCCATATGGTAAATATTCCATAATTAATTTTAGATTACGCCGACCTTTTAACATAAAGGTAGAAACAATATTTTACTCAGCCATATTATACTGATTAAATATTAGAAAACTATCATACATAAATGACTTAAAACATATATAAAATCTAAGATGACAAAACTTTATTATACATTAAAGGTGATATAGTTGTTAAGAACATAATCTTTTTGAATCAAAAACTTGAATAAATAACGAAAATAAATTTTGAATAAAAGCTTTGAAACTACTTGCGTTTCAGTTTTCTATAACTCTTTAGGCAAACCAAAATAAACTGTTGAGAAAACTTCCTTTCTCATTTATATCAAACAAAAAACATAAAATTCAAAAATATTTTTATAGAAAATGTAAGCAAAAACCATTTCTCTAAAAATGATGCTCTCTTGGTAAACTTAAGCAAGAGGTGAAAAGAATGTTTAAACAACTAGCCAAATACTTCCTATAGTTATAGTTTATGATCACCAAACACAATCTCCAGTCATTATAGAATGCCTGTCCCTCTGGGCATTGGCATAAGTCCAGATCATTAGACACCGTACGTTTCTATTACACAGGATGCCAAAGACATATCTTGAATTTCAAATAGGTTTCAATGGGCAGCTTACCAGCACTGTAGCACACTCCCTTGTACTTTACAATGTTGTCATGCTGTAGGGATTTCAGGATTTCAATTTCCCTTTCAAAGTCTCTCAGGTGCTCTTCAGTACTATGCTGAAGCTTTTTTACAGCCACCACCTCCCCAGTGTTGTCCTGTAGAGGGTCATACCGGCACATCTCCACACTCCCAAAATTACCCTAAATGACACATCACATTAGGATGGAAATATCAAGTTTTCAAGGCAAATTACAAATAAATTATATAGAAAATTCTAGTAGCTGGAATTAGCAGACATATCTTTAAGCTTATATTAAGGAACTCTTAGAACAAGAAAAGGAAATACTATCTCAACAGGTGCATAGTAAACCTATAAATTTAATTTCTTCAAAAGGAATTACAGGCTGAAATATAAATTACTTCAAAAAAGCATTTAAATAAATGATAAGCATTAATTATCAAGATAAGCCAAGGGACATGCTGAGGAATTCCTAAACTCTTGTCACTAACTTCCAGGAAGAATTTTCCTTTTTTACAAAATACCTTTTGATATCACTGTCAGTGATCTGGATGGAATGTGTCTGTTACGGGCTTTAAATGTCTGTGACCCCCACCCAAAATGTATATAATAAGCCTTAACCCCATTATGACTGTATTTGGAGATAGCGCCTTGTGAGGAGGTGATAAAAGTTAAATTAGGTTATAAGGGTGGAACCCTCATGTGACAAGGCTAGTGCCCTTATAAGAGGAAGAGACATTACAGCAATCTCTCCCATGTGAGGACACAGCAAGAAGACGGCCATGTGCAAGCCAAGAAGAAACCTCACCAGAAACCAACCCCTGCCAGAACTTTGAACTCAGACTTTCCAGGCCCTAGAATTGAGAGAAATAAATGTCTGATGTGTAAGCTACCCAGTCTATGGTATTTTGTTATAGCAGCCGAAACAAATTAAGAAGTAAGAAACTTTTAGCCTATGGGATGACTCTACATTTTTTTTTTTTTTTGAAGAGGTCTTTAAAGAAATCCACTCTTTTACCTAAGACTCATTAACTACATAGAATTGGTAAGTTGCTATAACATTTAAATAAATTATAGGTTTTTGATATTAATCAAATTAGTGTATTTTGGATATTATTGCATTCTTACAGGATAAAACAATGTAGTTCTTGAGTTACAAGATTCTAAGTGACTGTATTTTCACTTATATACTTGAAGTCAATTTTTAAAAAAACCTAGACCACGTAGGCTCAGAGTTAAATCTATAATTACACAGTTTAGAAGGCCACACAACAAGGTGGATAGACCCAGGACTCTCAAGTCAGATTGGAACTAGAATATTGATCCACAACTTGCTCTCTCTGTGACCATAGATAATTCACATCTCCCTAAAATGAGGCTTTTCTTCCTTAAAGTAGAGAATAATAAAATGTCTATCTCATGAGGCTGTTGTGAGAAATTATTCCAAAACATATTTTAGAAAACAAAAGTAGGAAATAAGTTTTATCTTCTTTCCCTCTACCTAACAATGTGTTCATAAAATTTATTTTCCAGTGCCACTATATATTCCTTGAAATTAATGATTTTTAAGTATTGTATATTGTCACATGAATGCACTAATTTTTAACATTGTAAACATAAATGTACACTAAGAAAATTTTTTAAATACAGTCATGTCATTGCAATAATATTCTTATAAATAAATATTTGTGTACATCTCTATTAAGGATACTTAAATAGCTGTTCAAAAGATAAGAACATTTCAAAGGGCCTTGATACACACTGCATTAGAAGCTCTCTGGCAGGGGTTACCATTTGATGTTCCAATAAGCAGTGGGAAAATGTGTATTTCATCACATCTCTGCCAACGATGGTCATTATACTTTTTCTAAATCTTTATCACTTTGATAGGCAAAAATCAGTCTCACTTTTAACTTGGAATGCCTCTATTTTTCTTATGGAAGAAGGAGATGAAGAAAAATTCAGTGAAAAGAAAGATTTAAGATAGAAAACCAGAAGAGTTTGAGATAGGACCAGAAAAGAAATCAAATAAGGGAGAGTAAAAGAACTACCAGTGATATGGTTTGGCACTGTCCTCACCAATATCTCATTTTGAATTGTAAACCCCATAATCCCCACATGTCATTGGAGGGACCCGGTAGCAGGCAACTGAATCATGGGGGTGGTTTCCTCCATGCTGTTCTGGTGATAGTGAGTGAGTTCTCATGAGATTTGATGGTTTTGTAAGCATCTGGCACTTCCCCTGCTGGCACTCATTCTCTCTCCTGCTGCCCTGTGAAGAGGTGCCTTCTGCCATGATTGTAAGTTTCCTGAGGCCTCCCCAGCCATGGGTAACTGTGAGTCAATTAAACCTCTTTCCTTTATAAATTACCCAGTCTCGGGTACGTCTTTATTAGCAGCATGAGAACAGACTAATACAACCAGTAAGAGTCTTAAGTGCCTAACCAATGTTGGAAATCAGTTTTCAATGAAAACAATCAAGATTTATATTTTATTTTTTTCTTACAGTGTTTGAGGGATGGAAGCACAATTTTAAAAATGCTAAGTTGTATTGTTCCCGTACTAGGAAAAGTGAAGCAGATAATCAAGGGAAGGGGGGGTAATATAATTGTAGATACCAGTGAAAGTAGTTTAAAAGATAGGAACATTTAAAAGCCCTTGATACAAACTGCTCTATGAGAAGCTCTCTAGAAAGGGTCACCAATTTACGTTCCAATAAGAAGAAAGTGTGAAAGACACTAGCAATACCAAAGATATCAAAAATAAGGCATTTATGTTGAAAAAAGCCAAAGGCTATAAAGTTATAGTCAGACAGGGAGATTTCAGGATAGGAAATTTCCTAAGTAAGGTTATTACAGGGGATTATGGAATTCAAAATGAACTCATTTAATGTAATCACAAGTTTGGGGTAGAGAAGCCAAGGAATCTTTTTTTTTAAGTATTGGAAGGGCATCCAAAATAACGGCAGGAAGTAAGGTGACCAGAAAACAATGAGTACTGAAAGTATTCAAGGAATGTGGGTCAAGATGTTAGCTAATGATGGGAAGAGAGGAAAATAAAAATCATATTCAGAGAAGATTAAGAGTGATGCTGATAATTTCAAAGTAGTCACACTAAGATCCTGATTTCTGAATCCCAGATCTGCACCATGGAGGAAAAAGGAATAAAGAGGATGTCAAAACAGCTGGGAGTGAAGTGAGAAGGTAAAGGATATAAAGAACATAAGAAGTTTCAGGCTCCAGGTCCCAGGAGGAGGATCGCAGGCCAGAGGTGGAGCCGCCCTCTTGCCACGACTTTCAGACCATGGCCTGGCGCTGGTGGCGTGGCAGCGCGGGGCTGTTCCTGGGGCCAGCGGCGCGGAGACCCGGGCCCGGCTCCCCGAGCCTGGCGGGGCCGCCGCTGCCGATGCCTAGTGCAGGCTCATAGGCGGAAGGGACTTGACTTGTCCTATTTTAATCTTGTGACGCATTTAACACCGGCCTGTCCAAATGTATATAGTATATCACGGTTTCATCACACAACCCCGTACACTAAAACACACAGTGGTGAGAAATACCGATCCTTTCAAACTCGGTTGGGGAGACTTGAAAGGTCTGTACGAGGACATTAGAAAGGAACTGCTCACAGGGCCGGGCGCCGTGGCTCACGTCTGTAATTCCAGCACTTTGGGAGGCCAAGGCGGGAGGATCACGAGGTCAGGAGATCGAGACCATCCTGGCTAACACGGTGAAACCCCGTCCCTACTAAAAATACAAAAAATTAGCCGGGCGTGGTGGCCGGTGCCTGTAGTCCCAGCTACTCAGGAGGCTGAGGCAGGAGAATGACGTGAACCCAGGAGGCGGAGCTTGCAGTGAGCTGAGATCTGACCAGTGCACTCCAGCCTGGGCGACAGACCGAGACTCCCTCTCAAAAAAAAAAAAGGAACTGCCCGTATCAACAACAGAACTTAAGGAAATGTCTGAGTACTACTCTGATGTAAAAGGAAAAGCCTTTCGACCAATTATTATGGTGCTAATGGCCCAAGCATGTAATAGTCATCATAATAACTTCTGACATATGCTAGCTAGCCAGTGCGCCACAGCCTTAATTGCAGAAATGATCCACACTGCTAGTCTGGTTCACGATGACATTATTGATGATGCAAGTTCTCGAAGAGAAAAACACACAGTAAGATCTGAGGTGAAAAGAAGGCTGTTCTTGCTGGAGATTTAATTCTTTCTGTAGTATCTATAGCTCTGGCACAAATTGGAAATACAACTGTTATATCTATTTTAACCCAAGTTATTGAAGATTTGGTGTGTGGTGAATTTCTTCAGCTTGGGTCAAAAGAAAATGAGAATGAAAGATTTGCACACTACCTTGAAAAGACCTTCAAGACGACTGCAAGCCTGATAGCCAACAGTTGTAAAGCAGTCTCTGTTCTAGGATGCCCGGACCCAGTGGCGCATGAGATCTCCTATCAGTACCGAAGAAAATGTAGGAATAGCTTTTCAGCTAATAGATGATGTACTGGACTTCACCTCATGTTCTAACATGGGTAAACCAACATCAGCTGATCTGAATCTCGGGTTAGCCACTGGTCCTGTCGGGTTTGCCTGTCAGCAGTTCCCAGAAATGAATGCTATGATCATGAGATGGTTCAGTTTGCCGGGAGATACAGACAGAGCTCCACAGTATGTATTGCAGAGTGATGGTGTGCAACAAACAACCTACCTCACCCAGCAGTACTGCCGTGAAGCAGTAAGAGAGATCAGTAAACTTTGACCATCCCCAGAAAGAGATACCCTCATTCAACTTTCAGAAATTGTCCTCACAAGAGATAAATGACAACTCTTTCTGTTCTTTCTGGCAGCTATCTCACCAGACTGTGCCTAAAAAATCTGGAGAATACACTTTGTTTGCTTCATCTGCAGATAACCAAAAATCATTTTAACAGATATCAAACTTATTGATGGGCAATTTATTTTTTTATTGCAAAAGTTTTTTCAGAAAACTTTTAAAATGTAATTAAACCATCTGAATCTGTCATTCTAGTCCTATAAATTCTAATTGAGGTATCTTGATGGTTATATGTGGTACTGTTTACACTGTTAACATCCACATGTAAGGCTATTACACAAATAAATAATCCATGTTAAAATTTTAAAAAATAGAATATAAGCATGAGGATAAAGGAAGAAAGCAAAAACAATCCAGATTTCAAGTAGCAAAAGAAAAGATTTCACAATAGTTTCTTGGCTCCTTTTACAAACAGTATGAAAATATTTTTTTAAAAATAAAAAATATATACCATTATTTCTCTTGGCTTAAAAAATATGAAAATAATTTTAAATATACATCCCTCTTTGGAATATTTTCACCATACCACTAATTGAACAGGATAACTTAAAGGGATACAGTAGCTAATTTTTATAAAATGAAAAGGTGACATGCAATCATTTTTGTAGGAATGGCTTCAATAAGGCAATACAAATAGCTAGACAAACCATGGAACACATCAATTACTTCAAACAAACAAAAGATGAAAGTAAAATTATGATGTTAAATGCAGATAGGAAATATCCACATTAAAATATCTATGACTGACTAATGATTATACCATTTTCCTTTCATTTCCTACAAACTAAATTACTAAGAAATATATTTCATTGTACATATATTTTGAAAATGCCTTCCTTAGAAATTTACTTATGTTTAAAAGAATTTTAAGCTCACAGAAAAATGTTAAAAAGCAAAAGAAAATTAACTCAAAATTACAATAATGGGGAATGTTGTAAATAAATTATGGTGTATTCACTTTTAAAATTATGTCTCAAAAGAATATTAATGGGAAAATCTTGATATATGAAAAATAGCAAGTATAGAATTGTATATATAGAATGGTTTCACTATTGAAAGAAATTGTGTAGTTGTTCAGAGACTACAACAAATGGAATGTATCTTCATCGTAATATCTTCCAATTTCTCTAAAAGCAGTATCTATATCACTTTCATAACTAGAAAAAATTACTTGAAAAGATAACTTTATAATTTAGTCTGCTGTTTCCCTTTTGTTAATCTAAATTAGTGATCTTTTGATGTATTCTTTGTTATGTCTACTTCTTAAATACCAGTATGTATTCCATTGTTTTGACAATATATGACAAAATTGTGTGCCTAGTAATCTGTTGGGATCTAAAGGAACTTTTTTTAAGTCAAGGAAAAAAAAGGCACGCAAACAAAAACCAAGATCTAATAAACAACAAAAGACTATGTGATTAAGTTGTATAGAAGAAACAATAAATGCTGTAAGTTCCCAGAAAAGAGGAAAATCAATGACATCTGGCGATATGTCAGGAAAATATGAATTTAGGAATAGCTGATAATAACAGACAACATTAATATGGTACTTACTAGTGAGAACCTTATCCTAGCAAGCTTATGTGAAAAAGAGAGAGCTTACCGCTATGGTTGGACCTACTAAGAACTGAGCATTCCCTGGTTTCTTACTTAAAATATGTAGGTTATACATGACTGTATGACCTTTTAATAGACAGAGCCTCTGCTAGTGAATAGGGCACAGTCAAAATCCTAGACCCTAAGCAATAAGATTAATTCTCCCTGAGATGACTAAAGGCAGAAAGGCAGGTAGAAAAGCTTATGTATTCCTTTCTCTATTTCACTGAATCACTTACAATGAACTCCTGCTACCAAGAAACAGTCTCTTGGTCAAGTCAATTTGAGTAATACTGCCTAATTCATCATCCTCTTGAAGATGTTCCATGCACATTACATGTTAAAGCCTCTGAAAAGTTCTTCAGTTGTAGGGAAAAGAGAGATCAGAGTGTTACTGTCTATGTAGAAAAGGAAGACATAAGAAACTCCATTTTGACCTGTACCCTGAACAATTGCTTTGCCCTGAGATGCTGTTAATCTGTAACTTTGCCCCAATCTTAAGCTCACAAAAACATGTGTTGTATGGAATCAAGGTTTAAGGCTAGGGCTGTGCAGGATGTGCCTTGTTAACAAAATGTTTACAGGCAGCATGCTTGGTAAAAGTCATCGCTATTCTCCAGTCTCGATAAACCAGGGGCACAATGCACTGCGGAAAGCCGCAGGGACCTCTGCCCTGGAAAGCCGGGTATTGTCCAAGGTTTCTCCCCATGTGACAGTCTGAAATATGGCCTCATGGGATGGGAAAGACCTGACCATTCCCCAGCCTCACACCCCTGAAGGGTCTGTGCTGAGGAGGATTAGTAAAAGAGGAAGGCCTCTTGCAGTTAGACAGGGGAAGGCCACTGTCTCCTGCCTGCCCCTGGGAACTGAATGTATAAAACCCGATTGTACATTTGTTCAATTCTGAGATAGGAGAAAAACCACCCTGTGGCGGGAGGCGAGACATGTTGGCAGCAATACTGCTTTATTATTCTTTATTCCACTGAGATGTCTGGGTGGACAGAAGCATAAATCTGGCCTACGTGCACATCCAGGCATAGTACCTTCCCTTGAACTTACTTGTGACACAGATTCCTTTGCTCACGTTTTCTTGCTGACCTTCTCCCCACTATCACCCTGCTCTCCTGCCACATTGCTCTTGCTGAGATAGTGAAAATAGTAAAATAGTAATTAATAAATACTGAGGAAACTCAGAGACCGCTGCCGGTGCGGGTCCTCCATATGCTGAGTGCTGGTCCCCCCGGCCCACTTTTCTTTCTGTATAATTTGTCTCTTATTTCTTTTCTCAGTCTCTCATCCCACCTGATGAGAATTACTCACAGGTGTGGAGGGGCTGGCCCCCTTCATTCAGTAAAGATAGCTGTTTATTTAACACAGCATTTCTCCAACATCTGACAACCAAACCTTTTTTTTTCTACAGGCACTCTTTAAAATGTTGTAGAAAGTGAACTTTAGAAACACTCTAAGTTTTTCCTAAATGAAAGGATTATACTCTATTTGAAAAACTTCTGACAATTTACCTTGCCGAGTTGCTGTAGAAATTTCAAATGTCTCTCTTCAAACTGTGTAGGATCCCTGTCTTCAAAGGCACCAGAAAACCCTAGGGCACCTATCCTCATATTTGGTAACATGTCATTTTCTGTTAATAGTTCATAATCTGGAGAAATAAAGAATATTACCACCTTAAGTTAGCAAATAAAATTCTCTGGACTAAACTGATACACATTCAAGTTGGCCAAAATAATCATGAGTTACAAATACTAAATGATACAGGGAAACTCAAATAATTTAGATTATATTAATGGGAGCCTTTAATCATTACTCATAATCTGAAAGGCTTTCAAGAGAGACTTTGCAAAGGATAAATATTTGTTTTCCAAAATAAGTAGTTTTCATATTCATAAAGTAAGGTAATATACTGACATTTGTTGTGAGAAAGGTGAGTAGTACTAGGGTAGAAAGCACCTATAGGTCAAACACATGCATTTCAGCTCAGTATTTTGAAAAACGAGAGAACAAACCAAAACAAATACAGCTCATGTTTAGAAAATCAATCAATTATAAAATATGAGAAATGTTAAAAAGAATTGATTTTTTTAAAGTCAATTTAAGCAGGAAAAAAAACAACACTATAATTTACAACTCATTAAATGGAAAACTAAAATTAGGTTACTGAAAGAGAAAAGGTCTTTTTTTAAAAAAGGAAATAATTCTCACTCAAGGAGATTAGAATATGTATAAAGCATGAAAAGCCATATGAACATAAGAAATTAAGAGGGCCTAAATGACATCAAGAAAATGTTTTAAAGGAATTAAAAATTAGTAATGATTCATTAAATACAATAAAGATAGAAAGCTGGAAAATCAATAAGATCACTCCATAAATACATACCTGGAGTAAACAAACTGTTAAGATCTCGTATGACGGCTCTGAAAGAAGGCCTGAAATCGGGTTCATAATCCATACAATTATTTATAAGGTTTGCTAATTCTGCCCACTTTGGTGCAGGAAGCTGGTGCCTATCTTCATAAAATTGCAGCTTCTATAATTAAAGAACCACAAAGAGAATAACTTGTGTAATGCCACACCAACCTTCTTTTAAAAATTAGATGGGCTAAAAAATACAAATCATGTGAAAGTCATATGAAAGTTCAGAGATAGAGTAATTCTAACTTAGTCTATATATAAACTTACTCTTTGAGAATCCAGGGCACTTAGAGGTTTATCTCCTCCACTGCAGATTTCCCACAAAGTGGTACCAAAACTCCATTTGTCTGTTGCCAAATTTAAATTTTTAGGATTTTCAATGCATTCAGGTGGTACCCATGGTATTCTCTCCTGAAGAACTTTTAAATGATAAGAACAGAGTAGGGTTAAATAATTCACAAGTAAACCAATCTTTTATATGTAAATAGCTTTAAAGTTCAAATCATTTGAATAATCAGGTCTATTTTCTGTATTTTGGAGAGGGTGGATGTGTAAGTGCACATGACTGCATAAGCTTAAGAGCCAGAAGGGACCTTCAAGGTCATCTAGTTCAATATCTCATCTTCAACGATGACAACATGGAGACACATGATTAAGTAATCTGCCCGAAGCCACACAATTTGTTAGCAGCAGAGACAGAATTAGAATCCTGTACAGTGAGTTCTGAATCAATTAATCTTTCCATTAAACCGTAGTGTCTCAACTGGCATACCATTTTTCATTAGTTTTACCTTCAAAAAAAAAAAATTTTTTTTTGAGACAGGGTGACACTCTGTCACCCAGGCTGGAGTGCAATGGCACAATTGCAGCTCACTATGCTTTGACCTCTTGGGCTTAAGTGATAAAGCAATCAGTCTCCCAAAGGGTTGGAATTACAGGCATGAGCCACTGCGCCTGGCCAAATCTTTTTTTTTTAAATATAGTTTATCCTAAAATTGTCCCATGATACTTTTTGGTATTTCTTCATAAGGTAATGTTACATCATTCAGAGATGTTCTACTGATTTAATAGCCTTGGAAATTCTCACTTGCAGATGATAAAAAAAACCAAGGACGAACAAGCGTTTATAGCTGAGGCATGGCTAAATTACACCAAAATATTCTAGGTATATGGAATTGATACAGGTGGGCTCTGCTCAAATCATGGAATTTCTCAAGCAAAGTTTCTGTGGTCTTTGATTCCACCAGAAGGACTGTATTCAAGAAAGGAAGAAGCAATATAACCCTACTTTCTAGTATTCTGACATAGACAGACAAATAGATTGATTGAAAAATACATTCACCATATGAATACATTTTTTTTCCATCTTCACTTCTGATTCCAAAGGATAAAATTTCCCAGAATACCAGATGTAAGACTCTGTAAGAATTTTGTGCCATACTCTTGTACTACTGCCCAATTATCACTGTCTTCACTGTCAGATAAGTCATTATGTACTATTGGCTTAAAATGATCAATTTAGAATCTAAATTTGGAACATCCAATTAGAGAAATTAGCTAAGATAACAAAATCCATTTATAATTATCTAGAACCCCCAAAAAACCCCTCTCAACTATCTGACTGAAATTTGTATTTTTAACCCACTGTGTTAAGTAGTAAAGATCAACAAACACAAATGAAAGTCTTTTAAGGTTTTAAAAAGTCAGAATTAGCTGGATAATTAAACTAATTTCTTCACAGACGGTAGAAAAAAATCCTAAGATCTCAGGCTAGATAAATTTTTATTTAGTGATGAGAAGAAAAAAATATTTAGAAAATTTACTTGTGGCTCAAGGAATATTAGAAAACCTCATATTAAAAATAGATAAAATCCTATCCTTCATATATAGAGATTAAAACTGTTTTTAAAAAATCACCTCACAGTCCATAGTTATATGCTTATAAGAAAGAAAAATAGAGACTAAGAGTTAACTAACAATTTAAATGGCTAAAAGTGATAGATACTTTTATTATTAATCAGGAACATATGAATTAAATGGAATTCAAGGAAAATTAACAACATGCTCTTTACACCACTGCCCAAGTAAAGTTTAGTAACATTATATATAATCCCTCTAGAACTTACTGTCCTTTGGCAAAACTGTAATACTAATGCCAGGATCACTAAGTTTGATGAAAGGAGGATTTCCTGTCTTCCTGTCTTCTTCTCTGATAAGTAGAATATTTTTGGCGCACACATTCCCATGAATAAGGGTGTTTTCTTCCTATTAGAGTTAAAGGCACATATATTCAAATATCAATCCACAAATATTTGAGCATTTAGTAGTTCAAGCCCCCAAAACAGATTTAAAGAAGAAAAATATATAAGATAGTATAATAAATATTAATTTGGAGGCATGCATTGAGAAAAAAGGAAATTTATGACTCCTAACTATGCTTCCTGTTTTACATTTTAAATAACACAATAATCTATGCTTGTGATGAAATGAATAAATTAAAACTACCCAATGCCACTTAACGTGAGTTCTAAGGCTGAGATGGTTTGTGTTTCTGGATGGGAGCTGACATTAAGAAACACTACTTCAGTTCTGCAGCAGAACATAGGTGCACTCTGAGGGGTCTGATCACTGGCAGGCCCTCTGGTACTCTTCTCTGTCAACGCTGCTTTCTCATGGACCATAATGTACAATGGCCCGAAAATAGAGAAGCACATGTTGCTGCATAATTTTTGGTTGAATTTTCTAAATCCAAAAGACACAAAATACAGACTGTCTATTAGTAGTTCTAAGATATTGATGGGATGACAAAACTTTTTTTCAAAAGTGATTTTACATACATAAACATATGCCTAAAGTAATCTCTTTTATCACCTAACACAGACTGTTTTACATGAATTGGCATCCAATTACAGATTTATTTTTTGTTTCCAGGTAAAGATAATTTGTATATTGTTTTATAAAATAAAACAGTGTCTTTTTGATAAAATGGATATACTACTTACTAGAAAATGCATGGCCCATGCCAACTGTTTCGCAACTTCAAGTTTCCATAATATATTTATACAATTTTTATTCTTTTTCAGGTATGTATCGAGTGATCCAAATTTTACAAACTCCTGAACCAGAATATCTGCATTAAAATATAAGTAATAATAAGGCTTAAGTATAAATATAATTAAATATATGTAATTTAAATCTTCATATACTTACATGTGACTATTATAGGTAAAGAAATTAAATTAGGCAAAACTCAAAACTTCAAAGAAAACTTAATGGATACACAGCATTATATTTTTGGTTTTTAGTTTACTTACAACAGCAAGAGTAGGAGTCTAAACAATTATATGTTATTTTTTATATATATATATAACATAAATGTTAATATATAATATACCAGCACACCTTTATATATTAGTACTGAATTATGGCGGTTTTTTTTAAAAAAATGAAAATTTCTCACTTAATTTATCATCCACGTAACATTTTAGACATTCAAACCTTCCTGAAGTTCTTCTACACACAAAAATTACTAACAATGTCTGTAGTATTATAGACATAAAGGAGAATTTGAGTTCTAGCTCCATTTAATCTTTTAATTTATTCTGCAAAAAATACAAAAATGTTTTGCACTGCTTTATCTTTAAAACTTTTAAAAATATATATATAAAACATATTTTGCCAGAAAAACAAGTGTTGGCTTCCAAAAACAATCCTGGACTCCTTCGTGGTCCACAGGAGCCTCTCAGATACCTCCATGTAACAGGTTCCAAACCACGGCTTCTGAAAATACTATCAATTTTCAAAGATATGAAAAAATGTTATACAAGTGTAGATGTGGATTTAATCTGCATTACTAGTGGAAAATAGGGAATTATATAAACAATTTTCTTGAATGTAAACTTTGTGAGGCACTAAAATACAGGCATACCTCGAAGATATTACCAGTTTGGTTTTAGACTACCATAATAAAGCAAATCATTAATTTCTTGGTATCCCAATACATATAAAACTTGTATTTACACTATAATGGAGTCTATTTAGTGTGCAACAGCATTATATCTTTAAAAAAAAAAAAAAAGAATGTACTTTAAAAAAATACTTTATTGCCAAAAAAGGTGCTAATGATAATCTGAGCCTTCAGAAAGTTGTAATCTTTTTGCTTGCGGAGGATCTTGCCTTTTGATGTTAATGGCTGCTGACTGATCATGGTGGTAGCTGCTTAAAGTTCAGGTGGCTGTAGCAGTTTCTTAAAATAAGACAACAATGATATTCACTGCAGACTCTTCCTTTCATGAAAGACTTCTCTGTAGCATGCAATGCTGTTTCATAGCATTCTACCCACAGTAGAACTTTACAGGGTCAGTCCTCTCAAACCCTGCCACTGCTTTATCAACCAAGTTTATGTAATATTCCAAGCCTTTTGTTGTCATTTCACCATGTTCACAGCATCATCACTAGGAGTAGATTCCATCTTAAGAAACCACTTTCTTTGCTTATCCATAAGAAGCAACGCCTCATTCTTTCAGGGTTTAATCATGAGTTTGTAGCAATTGAGTCACATCTTCAAACTCCACTTCTTAGTTCTCTTACTGTTTCCACCACCTCTGCAGTGACTTCCTTCATTAAAGTACCATATCCCTCAAAGTCATCCAGGAGGGTTAGAATGAACTTTTCCAAATTCCTATTAATGTTACCATTTTGATTTCTTTCCATGAACCATGAATGCTATTCCTGGCATCTAGAATGGTGAATCCTTTCCATAAGTTTTTCTATTTACTTTACCCAGATCCACCAGAGGAATTACTATCTATGGCAGCTTAGCCTTACAAAATGTATTTCTTAGATAATAAGACTTGAAAGTTGAAATTACTCCTTGATCCATGGGCTGCAGAACGGATGTTGTGTCACCAGGCATGAAAATAATATGAATATCCTTGTACATCTCCATCAGAGTGCTTGGGTGACCAGGTGCATTGTCAATGAGCAGTAATACTTTGAAAGCAATCTTTTTTTCTGAGCAGATCTCAACAATGGGCTTAAAATAGTCAGTAAACCATGCTATAAACAGACGTGCTGGCATCCAGGCTTTATTGTTCCATTTATAGAGCACAGGCAGAGTAGACTTAGCATAATTTGTAGAGCCCTGGGATTTCTGGAATGGTAAATGAGCACTGGTTTGAATTTCAAGTCACCAGTGCCATTAGCCCTTAGCAAGAGGGTCAGCCTGTCCTTTGAAGCTTTGAAGGCAAGCACTGACTTCTCCTCTCTAGCTGTGGAAGTCCTAGATGGCATATTCTTCCAACAGAAGGCTGTTTTGTTTACATTTGAAAATCTGTTTGTTAGTGTCACCATCTTCATCAATGGTCCTTGCTAGATCTTCTGGATAACTTTCTGTAGCTTCCACATCAGCATTTTCTGCTTCACCTTGCACTTATGCTGTGGACATGGCTTCTTTTCTTAAACCTCATGAACCAACCTCTTGCAGCTTCCAGCTTTTCTTCTGCAGCTTCCTCACCTCTCTCGGCCTTCATAGAACTGAAGATCAGTAAGGTCTTGCTGTAGATTGGGCTTTGGCTTAAGGGAATGTTGTGGCTGGTTTGATCTTCTATCTAGAACTTTTTCTCTATCATCAATAAGGCTGTTCACTTTCTTGTAATTTATGTGCTTACAGGAGTAGCACTTTCAGTTTCCTTCAAGGACTTTTCCTTTGGATTCATAACTTGCCTTTTTAGTGCAAGAGGCCTAGCTTTCAGCCTGTCTTGGCTTTCAGTATGCCTTCCTCACTAAGCCATCTTCATCAGTGGTCTTTGCTACATCTTCTGGATAACTTGCTGCAGCTTCCACATCAACATTTGCTGCTTCATTTCTAGCTTTCGATTTAAAGTGAGAGATGGGTGAATATGCCTTTCACTTGAACATTTAAAGACCATTATGGGATTATTAAATGGCCTAATTTCAATACTGTTGTCTTGGGGAATAGGGAGGCCCCAGGAGAGGGAGAGAGACAGAGGAATGGCTCATTGATGGAGCAGTCAGAGCACTCACCGCATTTATCTATGACGTTTGCCTTCTTATATTCTCTCTGTTTGAGGCACCCCAGAATAATTACAATACTAGCATTAAAGATTACTGATCACAGATCACCATGTGGTTTTTTTTAAAGTTTGAAATGTTGCCAGAATTACCAAAATGTGACACAGAGACATGAAATGAGCACATGCTGTTGGAAAACTGTTGCCGACAGAGTTGCTAGACACTGGGTTGCCATAAACCTTCAATATGTAAAAAGTACAACATCTAAGAAGCACAATAAAGCAAGGTGCAATAAAATGAGGCATGCCTGTATACTATTAAAGCTTGGGGTATGATTTATACTTTTAGTAGTTTCTATGAACAACCTAAATTTAACCAAAAAATATATCTAGTATCATATCAACACAATATTTTCAGTCAGTTCCATTAAAAATTAAGTATATCATTTATATGCTTTGTCTTCATAATTCCAGAGAAGTTTGTAATGAAAAGGCCAGTTATTCCAATGTTATGTTGAACCTGCCATAATTTCTTTTGCTATCATGAACACAAAATGTTATAGACATTTGTTTCCTATAATACTCTATTGTTTGGGCATTGTAACCTTCTACTTTTAACTTTATTCATTGGTTTCCTTTTTCACAAGATATAACTGAACAGTCCTACAGTGTTTTCAGTTTCAAAAATATTTAATTCCTGTTAAATTATGGGTTACACTGACATCTAGCTGTGATCCTGAAACTGAATTTTGTATATAAACAAAAATAGATGATCTGAGAAAGGCATTAGAAAGCCTGTAGTTTTACTTACTCTCCTCTCCACAGACACATACTCCATAATTTAAAACCAAATGCTTGTGAGAAAGCTTGCTCATCATGCTTGCTGCTTCAAAGAAAGACTAAGGAAAAGAAAAACAAAAAGTACAAAGAATTGTTGTTTGACTGTTGTGCATAAGTACTCAGTTCAGAAAATTCTCTCTGCCATAATAAAGATGCACTTTCTCCTACTCTCAGCATGACTATAGATAAGGATACAATGTGCTTTGGTCCCTTTATATGGACCTGCAACTACCATCAACGTTCTGAGGAAACCCCTGTGTAAGTCTGGAATATGGAGATCAAAGTGAGAGACAGCAAGAGTGGTACAGGAATCATGAATGATGCCAGTCAAACAGGCTTGATGCTTAACACCTGAAATAGAGGACAGATGTACAACCAGAGGTAGACATCAGAGATAGATATAGGGAACTGAGTTAGATGGATGTAGCCTTTAAATAATACTTCCTAAAGAATTAAAAATTTGCAGATAAAATATCATGACATCTGTGTCAGGACACTAGCATAATTTTAACATCACTCCAATTCCACTAGACATTGACTAGAACCACTGGGTATGACTGTTTAGTGAATCACGATCACCAATACTGTGGTGTGCTGGATTAGAACAACTCTTTGGCTTGAACTTTTCACATCATCTGCCACTAACACCCTTTAAGATATTGTAAGTATCATATCTTGCTGTATTCGGAGCTCTGGCAACTGGCCACAGGGTCTGCCAGCTAGCATCTCTGGATGATGCCCAGAGGCATCCAGATTTCACTAAGTATGTTCCTTAGTACAGTGCCTTTGAAACTTTTTTTTTTTTAAATAAATGAAATTGTAGAAGAACCTCTGTGTAACCCATAAAGCTCTGGGGAGCCAAGTTTGAAAATCATGGCCACAGTATATGCAGAAATGTAATAACACTCCTAACATGCTAAACATAATTAGTTTGGAATTTTTTGTAATCCTGTAATTTTCAAACCCTGTAATTCTATAGCCCCACAAGAATATATCCTCAGAGAAGTCCTTGATACATTTAAAACTTACAATTTTGAAAAGCTGCACACATGAGTATGTTGTATGAATATGAGAGTACATCTTTAAACAGCATAAATTACATGAATTAAAGAACATACACACCTCTGAATAGTTTCTATGTGCTTTATCCAGAACTTTTAAAAGAACTTCTGTTTCATGAAGTTGACCATAGTCTCCTACTTCTCTTCGTATGCCTTTAAAAATCTTTGTAAAAGTGCCTTGACCAAGGCTTTCATTCTTCAAGAGAAAAAGGTAAAAGTAAAGAATGAGTCAAGATGGAGAACAAAGTAGGAACAAGAAAATACGTTCAATGAGGAAGAATTTTTTTTTAATCCATAAGCAAGTATTTTCCTTAGAGTCTAAATCCAGATTTGAGACTCCAAATTAATTCTTTTATTCTGCTTCCTTAAATAGTAATGAGAGACAGAAAACAAGGATTAATGAATTAAGTGTATTTTGGCTCTACTTGGTTTTGAAATCTCCTGAATGGGCTATAATTATCACTTTTTAAAAATAGAGTCAGTGTTTACCTACATTTGCTTACATGAGAATCATTTTGTTTGCCTTTCCCACTAGTACAATAGAGAATGTGGTCTGCAGAGGCAGAATATCTGACTTTTTCTTATTACCACTTTTATGACCTTGTACAGGCTATTTAATCTCTGTGCTGCAGCTGTCTTGGTTTCTTCATCTGAAAAATGAGAAAAGTAACTATTTTCCCATAGGATTGTTATAAACAATAAGTGAATAAATACAAAAAGCCCTTAGTACAGTCCATGACACATAGTAAATGTGCATTAAGTATTAGCTATTACTACTAATACTAGTATTTCTTGCATATCTTTACAAAGTAATTGTTGAAAGCCTGCACTCTGAAGTAACGCTGCTTGTGTTCAAATCCAAGGTCTACTATTTATTAGTTTTGTAATGTTAGTCAAGTTACCTGGCCACTCTGTTTCCTGTTATTCACATGAGGACTTGTCTCCTTAAAGAGTTCAGATATCAGTTGTTCTTTCTCATTCCTCTTTCATATAACCCATTTCTTTCTCCCTAACCCCTACATTCTTAATAATTTCTTCAGATCTATCTTGCAGTTCACATCTCTCTTCAGCTATAAGTAATTTCCTTTTCATCCTGTATATTCTGTTTTAAAGTCAGTGACGATATTTATCATTTCTATGTTTTCCTGAAATCTTTTTTGTTTGTTAAAACAATGTCTTATTTCTCCATGGTTTCAATTCCTTTTCTATCTTTAAACATGTATATGTATTTTATAGTCTGTATCTGAAAATTCTGTGATAGGAAGTTCCTGGAGTACTAACTTTGATGTTTGTTGGTCTACTGAGTCTTACTTAATCCTGCATTATTTCCTTGTATGTTTCTAAATTTTCTATTAAAAGCTCATGTTTGGAATGGTTTTATCTGTGGGAATCATGGGTTGCCTAGGTTAAGAGTATGTGGTTCCAAAAAGATTTTTTTGTTTCTTCTAAGCACCACACAATATTAGGAGAGGACCACTTTTAATTTAGAGTTTCTCAGTCTATGTAGGTAGTATAATGAAACCCAAATTCAAAAGCTTGTGATGACAAATTCTTAGGAGAGACTGCTTTTCCTCACTAGAAACCCAATTAAAAATGACAAAATTCCTTTTCTTCTCTGCTTGCCAGTGGGTGAATTTTTCACATTCTATATATTGTTTTACTGAGGATATATTTACTTAAGGGTCCTAGTTTTATTCAGGGATAGTCTCACTTTTAACTCCTTGCCTTGTGCAGGTCTGAGACCTGGCCCTTTTAAATTGCTTTTAAGTCTTAACCCCCTTGATAAATGTGGCTGATCACCAGTCTCACCACCTGGCAGCCAAATTATCAGATCTTATGTACTACAGTTGACTCTTGAACAGCATGGGTTTGGACTGCACAGGTCCATTTATGTGTGGATATTTTTTCAGTAAATCCATTGGGCCCTCTGTACTGGCAAGGCAGGTTCTGCATCTGCAAGGAAACTCAGATGGAAAATATAGTATTTCTGCACTCCAGCCTGGGTGACAGAGCAAGTCCTCCTCTAAAAAATAAATAATTTTTAAAAATAATTACTAGTTACTTTTTAAAAGAAATACAGAGTTCATAGGAAGTAAAACCCGTGTATATGGAGGGCCAACTTTTCATACCCACAGGTTCCACTTAAGTATCCTCACATTTTGGTATCCATGGGTAGTCCTGGAACCAATCCCTCATGGACACTGAGAGATGGCTGGATTTTTGTCTCAGTTTCTTCTTTATTTTTAACCCCTTGAATTTCCCTTATTTTCTTGAGAACTTGAGAGTAACAATATAGGTCTTTGTATATTTTTAATTTTTAATTTTTGTGAAGAATCATTTTTAAATTTCCAAAAAGAAAATTAAGATTCCATTCTTAGGATAATTAAGATAATTAATTTTGCTAACATCTAACACAAGGTTGGTATATCTTTCAAAGGAAAAATACTTAAATCACAACTAAATTTGTATATGTTATGACAAAATAATTCCAAATGACACATGAATGTAAATCAAGAACACATGTTGTTTTAAAAGGACAAAAAAGACAGTAGTCAGTATCTAATGACTTACAAATATCAAATCTTCATTTCTGATTTTGTGAAACACCATTTGGTTCATATGAGTAGGCCTCTGTAATGTTGGTGAGGTTGGTACATCAGAAACACCATTCGTTCTGAAGACTAGAAGGTTTGATTTATCTGAAAAAATAAAATACATATATATCACGTCAAAATACACTGAAAATATGAATTGCGCCAAGGAGGAGTAAAATGAAATGTGTTCTATATATAAGAAATGCTTAATAACTCCTCATTGTTCTTTTTTATAATAGAAAATTATTTTAGGGGTTAACTCATTGAACTTTGATGTATTATTCTTAGTTACTTCATATATTCAAAATTATAATCACTTTCTTAACTAATGTAATTTGAATTTTGATGTATTCCTGCCAGTTATTTCATTAATTCAAAATTATAGTAACTTCCTTAACTCATACAATTTTTCAGAAATTTTAATAATTTTTAATAGTAAGGCTCATTATTTCAAGGAATTTCCAACTTTACTATCTTTATTTTTAAAATACAGCAATTAAAATCCTCAAAGTATATGAAAATTTTTACTTAAAACATGAGAATTTAGTAATGAGATCTTACTAGTTCAATAAATGACATCATACCACAAAATTATTATGTTTAAAATCTCAGTTTAGAATAATTGAACTTCAAGTCACTTCTAGACCACCAAAACCAAATTAAACAATCTTATTTGATGATGCTTGTACAACAGAATAAGATAAAATTAACTTTTAGAGCTGCTTCTTTCATATATCCTTTGAAATCAATGTACTAAAGATACTTCACACCACATACACAATCCGTGACCAGTAATTTAAAAATAACTAGAAAATTATCTTACCTTTTGGCTTTGGGGGACAGCACTTAGTAAACTGGAAAATTATATTGTCTGAGCGAACGGTTTCCATCTGGTAACAATTCAAAAGATCTTTAAGACTGCTGAAGTTCTTCTTTGTCCCACTGAGGTTGTACTCTTCATTCTCATTTTTTGTAATCAAACAGTGTTTATATTCAATGACATTTTCTCGCTGTATAAGTTTAATTATAAAGAAAGGGAGGGATACTCACAATGGACATCATAGTGATTATTCTGACAAAATGATATCACAAGAACAAGCAACAGAATAAACATTTGAACCAAGAATCCAGTGTAGTGCCAGTATAGTAATAGAAGTACTTAGTTCCTCAAAAGGGCACTTTACAATTTCTCAGCCTATAAAAGTGGTTTAAAAGTTGATTTTATGAAAACGTATGGAAGAAGGCAATAATAATTAATAGCAATAGTAATACCATCCTTAATAGCTTCCCATCATTTGTAAGATAAAGCCTAAAACAAATGTAGCATATAGAGCCTTCCATGAGCTGGTTTCTGCCTCCATCTCCAATCTCAGCTCCTGCCACTGCCAACATACAACCTATGTTCCAGCCACATTAAATGACTTAAATCATTTCAAGCAAATGCCACGCTGCTTCATGCCTTGATAACTCTTCATGCTATCTCTCTACCTAAGAATGTATACCCACTTCTTCTGAGCAGTGAACCTTTCTTTATTCATTCATCAAAACTCAGTTCAAGTACCACTTTTTCTAAGAGGTCCTCTCTCATGCTCACCTCATTGCACAAGCAAAGGTGAACATTCAGACATTCCACTGCACCACCATTGTATTTGTATAATTATCTTTAATATGACATTTTTAATATTTTGCAGTTTTTAAATATGTCTTACGCACTATATTATGAACTTGTTTATCTATTTTTTTAAGGTGCATTTTATAAACATATTCATTCTACTCAGAAACATTTATATAAAATCTACCAATACCTCAAGGTCAATCAAGTTCTTCCTATGCCAAATGACCTTTCTTGTTTTTGTTTTTTTTTCTGAGACAGTGTCTCACTCTGTTGCCAGGCTGGAATGCAGTGGGACAATTTTGGCTCACTGCAACCTCTGCCTCCCGGGTTCAAGAGATTCTCCTGCCTCAGCCTCCCGAGTAGCTGGGACTACAGGTGTGCATCACCATGCCCAGCTAATTTTTATAATTTTAGTAGAGACAGGGTTTCACCATTTCACCACGTTGGCCAGGATGGTCTCGATCTCTTGACCTCGTGATCCACCCGCCTTGGCCTCCCAAAGTGCTGGGATTACAGGCGTGAGCCAACACACCCAGCCAACCTTTCTTAATAATTGTAAACCTGTCTGTTACTGTCTATATTTGCCTATGCTAGATAATTACATGTTCGATTTAGAATTTTTTGTATACTTGAAAATTTTTGTTTGTCCAGTAGATAAGCTTCTTGAAGGTAGGGCTGTAGCATAAACTCTCTAATATATAGCTCTCATATTAGGATTGGCACATACAGTGAACATAAAATATATATATATAGTTTTTGAATTGATACTTGAATATAATGTACTATTATCTGTTATAGTAAGAGGATACTTTGAAATTAGGATAGAGTACCAGTTTTACACAAAGGTGAAGTGATGGTGTAACCTACTTTCTGTAATCTACCCTCTACATATGCCAAATATAAGTTGCATTTTATAAAAATTAAAATAATTGAATAACAAAATTCTTATTTTCTCTATTTTTAAAAATCAAGATAAATTTGGAAGCTTCTATAAAGGTTCTTAGGATTTATACTATGAAATTGCCTCATAAGTGATAGTAAATAATCACAGATGAGATCCAAGATGATCTGTATTAACAGTGGGGTTTTACCTTTAAAACATGCATTGTAGACCACTATTCTTAATATTAGAAAATCACCAGTTAAAAGTGCTTTAATGTGTCTGTTTCTTTGTTATTGCCCTATTTTTCTCTAATTCTGTTTCCTGTAATTCTGTAGCCACTGTTAATAAACAGAAAATTTGCTTCCAATTTATTTTGTTCTACATCATGTGGCAGGGATTTCCAGTTTTGCAAAAAAAAAAAGAAACATCAAGACACTTGATGAAATACCTTTTGACACACTGGTAACACCAAAACATCAGAAAATAAAATAAATGCAAAATAAATAGACATAAATTATTTTATATTTTTATATAAACCCTGGGAATTATATCTTATTTATTTGTACAGAATCTGAGGAAATTAAGCATTATACTAGTTATATCCTATATATAGCTATAATTCTGAGTATTAAAAAGGAAATATGGTAAATAATATGCAGAGGAAATTAAATGAACTAAAGTGTTACTATTAATAAGTGTGACATACTAACCTCGACAGCAAAAGTCAGAAAATATTTATTAAAGTCCTTAGGACTGCATCGAAGTACATACAGTCCAGTCTGATTACCTGCTTTCTTCAGTTTACTAATGGCAAAATCCATCCTAAAGGTAAAGAAGAAGCAATTTGAATGATAATATAGCAAGCACCATAACATTATGACCAAGTGTCATCTAAAAAAATCAAAAGTCAAATCTAAAACTGTCAGAACTGTCTCCTCTACTTTATATGTTTAGCAATAATCCTTCAAAGGAAAAAATCAAAGTACCAAGCTATTTTGCATAAGTTCAAACCATTTCAAGGGACAATTATATAGCTTTAAAAACCAATAAAAGGTATTATAAGACAAAATCACAAAGAACAATTTGTTCATTTGATTTTTCTGCCTGCTGATTACAAAGTTAATATTTTTAAAATCATATTCTCTGAAAACTTCATTTAACCATAAAGATAATATGTCAGAAAATATTTATATCTCTTCTACAATAGCAGTTACTGACATAGAAATCTGAATGCATGATTTTATTATTTGGTATGATAACAAAGTCTAAGAGAAGAACCATGGCAACTGACAAAGACAACTGATTTTTAAAGTTTTCTGTTTTCTGAAGCTGCACACCTTGAAAGAAAAGCAAAATCTAATCTATACAAAAGCAAGAATCATTCTGTTTCACTTATCACCATATTTCTAATATATAAACCAATGCTTGCACATAGCAGTTACTCAGTAAATATAAATAAAAGAATGTTTGAATGAATTTATGGATACATGAATAAAGGCAAGGAGTTTTAAAAATATTTAACATGTAAATTACAGACGAAGTTCAAGTAGTACAACTTTTTCATAGCAACCATATTCATTACTAAAAAAATATTAAGCATACACTAAATCAAGTCTTTATATTACCCAAGATGTATTTTCTCAAATACTTAGGGGTAGGTTAAATGCAAAGAACATAGTATGCTCACGATCCCAGATTTTCCCTTTGCTCAAGTTATTCAAATCTGTTGTCAATATAAACCACATCCCACCTAAGAGATCATTAGGACGTAAGCTAAATAGATGTTATGCATGTTATGCATGATAGCTGGCTTTACCCAGTATTAAAATAAGGATCTACAACCATGTGAGCCAATATGATAGTTACTAGCCACATGTAGCTATTTAAATGTAAAGAAATTAAAATTCAGTTCCTCGGTTGCACTAGCCACATCTCAAATGCTAAACAGCCACATGTAGCTAGTGGCTACTGTGTTACACAGCACAGATACAGAATATTTTCATCACTGCAGAAAGTTCTACATAGCACTAGTCTAGAAATGTGGACATCATATACATCTTGTGTTTGAACCTTTCAGTAGGAGATGGACTATCCAAAAATAAAGCATTTTCAAATTTTGCACTGTGGCTTCCTTACAGTATTTTAAAATTAATAACACATAAATTGGAGGTCTTTTTTACTAACATTCAGGAACGAATCACACATAGGCATGATTAACAAATGTTAAATTTGTACAAGTTATAAATATTACAGATTGGGATACAGATGGTAAATTATATGCTAAATAATTCTAATTATTATGTAATCTGATTGCAAATAGCCTTTTGTTTAAAAAAACTTGTCAAATTAATGTTTTTTCCTAAACATACATGTATCACTCTGTTAAATCTTCTTTGTAAATATATCATTTACTTTTCTAAAAATTTACTTTTAAGTCTGTATTACTCACGAAATTGGGCCATGACAGTTGCTTTGTATATTTTCAAGCACTGTTGGAGGTGCTACTTCTTTACAGAGGTAATGATGTGCATCTGCAGTTAATCTATAATATCCATCAATTAATGACACGAAAGACAAAGCTTCCCTTAATGAGCTAAGTTCAATTTCCTAAGCAGAGAAAAGAAAAAGAAACAGCACGTTTTAGAAAGTCAACTCCATGTTAAATATTGAAAAATTTTTTCATTCCACGTTTTTAGAGTAATTCACCTAAATACATTTTCTTCTAAATTGCTCACATGTTTTTTATGGCTCAGTACTCAATATGAATTACAAATTCTTATGTCTGATATTTAAGATCTTCCTAAATACAGATTATCATACCTTCCCAGTTATAGTTCATTCTATATCCATCGTTGTTTTACTTTATTTTCCAATGTCCTTCTTAGACTAATATAGCAGTTATCTCAGCTAGAAATCTATTTAATACAATGTAAAAGTTGACATTAGAAATCATGAGCATTTCTTTTTTTTTTTTCTTTTTTTTTTTTATACTTTAAGTTCTAGGGTACATGTGCACAATGTGCAGGTTTGTTACATATGTACACGTGCCATGTTGGTGTGCTGCACCCATTAACTCGTCATTTACATTAGGTATATCTCCTAATGCTATCCCTCCCCCACCACACACAATAGGACCCGGTGTGTGATGATTCCCTTCCTGTGTCCAAATGTTCAATTCCCACCGATGTTCAATTGCTCATTGTTCAATTCCCACCGATGAGTGAGAACATGCGGTATTTTTGAGGGTCTTGCTCCATCGCCCAGGCTGAAGTGCACTGGCACAATCTTGGCTTACTGCAACCTCCACCTCCCAGGCTCAAGCGATCCTCCCACCTAACCCTCATGAGTAGCTGGGATTACAGGCGTGTGCCACCATGCCCAGCTAATTTTTGTATTTCTAGTAAACACAGGTTCTCGCCATGTTGGCCAGGCTGGTCTCCCAACTCCTGACCTCAAGTGATCCACCCACCTCGGTCTCCCAAAGTGTTGGGATTATAGGCGTGAGCCACAGACTACATACCAATTATATACTGCAAAAGTTAAAGTATTCATGCTACAAACTAAAATGTTAGGAAATGTAGCTATGCTATGATTTTTTTTGTCCCCCCACCCCCCGCCTCCCCATCAGAGTCTTGCTCCGTCGCCCAGGCTGGCGTGCAATGGCGCGATCTCGGCTCACTGCAACTTCTGCCTCCAGGGTTCAAGCAATTCTCCTGTCTCAGCCCCCCAAGATGCTGGGATTACAGGCACACGCCAAGACGCCCAGCTAATTTTTGTATTTTTAGCAGAGACAGGGTTCCAACATGTTGTCCAGGCTAGTCTCAAACTCCTGACCTCATTATCCATCCACCTTGGCCTCCCAAAGTGCTGGGATTACAGGCGTGAGTCACCATGCCCGGCCTGATTGTATCTTAATACATATGTGAACATATAATCAGCCTAAAATGCAGCATGTTACTTAAATGCGAAAATATATGTACATATATAAAAATATTTATATTTTTACATGCAAAAAGTCAGTTATATAAAGAAGAAAGCCCCATTTGTAACAAAAAGGATGCAATATCAATAATTAACAAAAACTTCAAAACACTCTTATACAACTTTTTATTTAAATATACAGAAGATTAACCATGTTCTTGGTAGGAAAATCCAATATGAGAAAAATGTAAAATTCCTCTCTAAATTAATTTTCTAATTTGTCTCAATCACATTAAAAATACCAACAGATACCAGAAGCTGTACCTAGAAAAACAGGGCAAACATGAGATTCAGAAAATCAGATCCAATATAAGAGAGATGAAAACACAGTTACCAGGATGAGAAAGGAATGACCAAAAATTACAGCTGTACAAAATAATAGCTGTACCTAGAGAGCTTCCAGTCCACACTATAAAGTAAGACACTGTGATCGAAGAGGTACTTCTCCAGAAAAGAAGTAAAAACACTATCATATGTGACAGGTTTGATGATGTGAAATTTTGTATTGAGAAGTCCACTACTTTACAGAGTTCTTGTAGAAAATGAAAATAAAGCTAGATACAAAGGAAAAATCATAAAGCAATAATTAACTCCTGGAAAAAGTTATATAAGAATGAAAATGTGATTACAGCATATTTCTTGGCCCAGCCATGAACAATATTTACATAATCATAAAAGAATACAGAATAGAGTCCTAAATCAAAAATTATAATAAAGAGAAAAGCGTATGACATGTTTGAACGATAAAAGGTATTTAGCGGCCAGGCGTGGTGCCTCACGCCTATAATCCCAGCACTTTGGGAGGCCGAGGCGGGTGGATCATGAGGTCAGGAGATCGAGACCATCCTGGCTAACATGGAAACCCCGTTTCTACTAAAAATACAAAAAATTAGCCGGGCATGGTGGTGGGCACCTATAGTCCCAGGTACTCGGGAGGCTGAGGCAGGAGAATGACGTGAACCCGGGAGGTGGAGCTTGCAGTGAGCCAAGATCGCACCACAGCACTCCAGCCTGGATGACAGAGCGAGACTTCATCTCAAAAAAAAAACAAACAAAAAAAAAAAACAGGTATTATAAAAGATATTCTAAACAAAATTAAAAGACTTGGAGGTTACAAACATGTACAACAAAGGAATATCCCTAACATACATTGTGGGAATAAAACCTATAAAACAATTAAAAATAAAAAAAGAAAACTAGTCAAAGGATGTGAAAAGGCAGTCCACAGAAGAATAAATATTAAAGCTGACCTATAAACACATGAGGTATTGCTCAATCTCAGGTTCTAATTAAGGAAATGAAATATAACAGGAGAGCATTATTTACCCATTGATTTGGCAGAAAAATTAAAAGATTGATAACATCCAATGTTGGCAAAGGGTACAAGAAAAGAGGCGTACAGATACATTGGAAACACCTTTTGAGAAGTATTTTAATAATCTATCAAAGTTGTAAATAGTCATACCCTTTGAACTAGCAGTTCACTAACTGGTATCCCTCTTATTGATATACAGGCACATTTTGTTTACTACACTTCCCTTTATTGCTCCTTGCAGATATGACTTTTTTTTTTTTAATACAAATTGAAGGTTTCTGACAAACTTATGTGAAGCAAGTACAAGTCTATCAGTGCAATTTTTCCAATAGCATATGCTTACTTCCTGTCTATGTGTCACGTTTTGGTAATTTTCACAAAATTTAAACTTTGTTATTATTATACCTGTTATGGTTATTTGTGATCAATGACCTTTGATGTAACTATTGTACAGTTGTCCCTCAGAATACAAGGGGAATTAGTTACAGGACCCCTGCATATACCAAAATCTGAACATATTCAAGTCCTGAAATCAGCCCTGCAGAACTCATATATGCAAAATGTCAGCCCTACATATATGCAAGTTTCGCATCCTGTGAATACCATATTTTCCATCAATGTTTGGCTGAAAAAATTGCATATAAGTGGACCCACACAGTTCAAACCTGTGATGTCCAAAGGTCAACTGTAATTGTTTTGGGGTACCACACACTGGGCCTATATAAGATGGTGAACTTAAGTGATAAATTTCTATATGTTCTGATTGCTCCATTGAATAGCTATTTCCCTTTCTTTTTCCCTCTCCTCAGGCCTCCCTATTCCCTCAAATACAACAATAATGAAATTAGGCCAATTAATAATCCTACAGTGACCTCTAAGTATTCAAGTGAAAGCAAGATTCACCCATTTCTCACTTTAAATCAAAAGCTAGAAATGATTAAGCTTAGTGAGGAAGGCATGCTGAAAGCCAAGACAGGCTGAAAGCTAGGCCTTTTGCACTAAAAAGGCAAGTTATGAATCCAAAGGAAAAGTCTTTGAAGGAAATTGAAAGTGCTACTACTGTGAGCACATAAATTACAAGAAAGTGAACAGCCTTATTGATGATACAGAGAAAGTTCTAGATAGAAGATCAAACCAGCCACAACATTCCCTTAAGCCAAAGCCCAATCTACAGCAAGACCTTACTGATCTTCAGTTCTATGAAGGCTGAGAGAGGTGAGGAAGCTGCAGAAGAAAAGCTGGAAGCTGCAAGAGGTTGGTTCATGAGGTTTAAGAAAAGAAGCCATGTCCACAGCATAAGTGCAAGGTGAAGCAGAAAATGCTGATGTGGAAGCTACAGAAAGTTATCCAGAAGATCTAGCAAGGACCATTGATGAAGATGGTGACACTAACAAACAGATTTTCAAATGTAAACAAAACAGCCTTCTGTTGGAAGAATATGCCATCTAGGACTTCCACAGCTAGAGAGGAGAAGTCAGTGCTTGCCTTCAAAGCTTCAGAGGACAGGCTGACCCTCTTGCTAAGGGCTAATGGCACTGGTGACTTGAAATTCAAACCAGTGCTCATTTACCATTCCAGAAATCCCAGGGCTCTACAAATTATGCTAAGTCTACTCTGCCTGTGCTCTATAAATGGAACAATAAAGCCTGGATGCTAGCACGTCTGTTTATAGCATGGTTTACTGACTATTTTAAGCCCATTGTTGAGATCTGCTCAGAAAAAAAGATTGCTTTCAAAGTATTACTGCTCATTGACAATGCACCTGGTCACCCAAGCACTCTGATGGAGATGTACAAGGATATTCATATTATTTTCATGCCTGGTGACACAACATCCGTTCTGCAGCCCATGGATCAAGGAGTAATTTCAACTTTCAAGTCTTATTATCTAAGAAATACATTTTGTAAGGCTAAGCTGCCATAGATAGTGATTCCTCTGATGGAGCTGGGTAAATAGAAAAACTTATGGAAAGGATTCACCATTCTTGATGCCAGGAAGAATACTAGTGATTCATGGAAGAAGGTCAAAGTGTTAACATTATCAGGAATTTGGAAGAAGTTGATTCCAACCCTCATGGATGACTTTGAGGGGTTCAAGACTTCAATGGAGGAAGTCACTAGGATGTGGTAGAAATAGCAAGAGAACTAGAATTAGAAGTAGAGCTGAAGATGTGACTGAATTGCTACAATCTTATGATAAAATTTGGACAGATAAGTTGCTTCTTATGCATGAGCATTAAAAGAATGGTTTCTTGAGATGGATCTAGTCCTGGTGAAGATGCCGTGAATGTTGTTGAAAAGACAGCAAAGGATTTAGAATAAAGTTTAGTAGATAAAGCAGTGGCAGGGTTTGAGAGGACTGACTCATTTTGAAAGAAATTCAACAGTGGGTGAAATGTTACCAAACAATGTCACATGCAACAGAGACATCTTTAACGAAATGGAGAGTCTATTGATGCAGTAAATGTTGTCGTTATCTTAAGAAATTGCTTCAGCCAACCCAACTTTAAGCAACCACCACCCTGATCGGTCAGCGCCATCAACATCAAAGTAATACCCTCACAAGCAGAAAGATTATAACTCTCTGGAGGCTCAGATTATCATTAGGATTTTCTAGCAATCAAGTGTTTTAAATTAATTTTTAAGACATAATGCAGTTGCACACTTAGTAGACTTGATTATAGTGTAAACGTAACTTTTATATGACTGAGAAACCAAAAACTTTATGCAACTCACTTCATTGCAATATTTGCTTTATGGCAATGGTCCGGAACTGAACTAGCAATATCTGACATATGCCTATATACATTTTGCAAACATCCTACAAAAGACTTAGAATCTATAGAGACTCTACAAATTGATCAGAAAGGGACAAGCCAATGAAAAATGTGCAAAAGACTGTCACAGGCACTTTGTAAGAAGGATATTCAGATGAATAAGTAAGTGAAAAAGTACTCAACATCATTACTCATCAGGGCAATGAAAATAAAGACTACAATGAGCTACCAGTACATATCCACCAGACACACAAGACATTTTTAGACTGACAAAATTAAGAGTTGATGGGGATATGAGACAACTGTAATTATCATGCATTATTGAAGGAAGAGTGAACTGACAGAAGTACAAAAAATTGTTTGGCAGTATACTAAAGCTATCACTATGACTCAATAATCCCATCTCTAGGTATATATACACAAAAAAATGAGTGCATGAGTCCACCAAAAAATATGTAAAAGAATGTTCATAGTAAATTTATCCCTAAAAGCCCCAAACTGAAAGCAACCCAAATGTCCATCAACAGAATAAATTTAAAATTTGAGATATAGTCAAACAATTCAGTACTACCCAGCAATAAAAAGGAGTGAACTGACACATGTAACAACATAAATGAATCTTCAAACATTATACTAAGTAAAAGAATCTAGATTTTAAAAGAAAATATACAGTATCATTCCATTTATACAACCTTTGTTAATAGATAAAACTAAGTGATGGTAGATGATAGGTACACCTTAAGTTAGGGGTGGAGGTGAATAAGTGGGAAGATGCATGTGGAAACCTTCTGGAAGTAAGAGAAGTATTCTGTTCTTTGAGGTGGGTATGGCTACAAAGATGTACAAATATGTAAAAATTCATTGAGCTATACACGTAAGATTAGCGTGCTTTACTGTGTTCATGTTATAGCTCAATAAAAAGTAAAAAGAAAAATAGGCAACAAAAGTTGAACTAGCTAAAACTACAAAACTACTGTGCATCAAAGGACACAAGCAACATAGTGAAAAGCAATCTATGGAATTGGAGAAAATATTTGCAAATCATATATTTGAAAAGGGATTAATATCCAGAATACACAAATAATTTCCATAATTCGGCCAAAAAACCTGATTAAAAAAATGAGCAAAGGACTTGAATATATATTTCTTCAAAGAAGATACACAAATGGCAATACATATATTAAAAGATGCTCAGTAACACTAATCATTAGGGAAATGTGAATCAAAATCGCAATGAGATACTACTTCATACCCGTCAGACGGCTACTATCAGAAAACAGAAGATAACAAGTTTTTATGAGCATGTGGAGAATGTACTCCTGGTAGGAATGTAAAATGGTGCAGCTGCTGTGGAAAACAGCATGATGGTTCCCTAAAAAATTACAAGTAGAATTACCATATGATCCAGCAATTCTACTTCTAGGTATGACATGGTTTGGTTCTGCATCCCCACCCATCTCTCATCTCGAATTGTAATCCCCATGCGGCAAGGGAGGGACATGGTGGGAGGTGATTGAATCATGGGGATGGTTTCCCCCATGCTGTTCTCATGATAGTGAGGGAGTTCTCATGAGATCTGCTGATTTAAAAGTGGCACTTTCCCCTGCGCACTCTCTCTCTTCTGCTGCCATGTAAGACATGCCTTCCTTCCCCTTCACCTTCTGCCATGATTTTAAGTTTTCTGGGCCAGCTATGCAGAACTGAGTCAATTAAACCCTCTTTTTAAATAAATTATCCAGTCTCAGGTAGTATCTTTATAGCAGTATGAGAACGGACTAGTAGAAGGTATATATCCAAAGGAATTGAAAGCAAAGTCTTGAAGAGATATTTGTACACCCATGTTCACAGCGGCATTACTCACAATTGTCAAAAAGTAAAAAAGCGACCTGAATGTTCACTGATGGATGAATGAATAAACAAGTGTGATATATACATGACACAGAATACATGTATATATTAAAAATGAAGGAAATTCTGATACATGCTGTAATACAAATGAACCTTGAGTATATTATACTAAGTGAAATAAGCCTGTCACAAAAAGACAGTATTGTTTGATCCTGCTTTTATGAGGTATCTAGAGTCGTCAAATACATAGAATAAGAAAGTAGAGGGCCTGGGCACAGTGGCTCATGCCTGTAATTCCAGCACTTTGGGAGGCTGAGGTGGGCAGATCACGAGGTCAGGAGTTCAAGACCAGCCTGGCCAACATGGTGAAACCCCTTCTCTACTAAAGATAAAAAAAAATTAGCCAGGCATGGTGCCATGCACCTGTAATCCCAACTACCCGGGAGGCTGAGGCAGGAGAATTGCCTGAACCCAGGAGGCGCAGGTTGCAGTGAGCCAAGATCGCAATGTTCCAGCCTGGATGACAGGGTGAGACTCCACCTCAAAAAAAAAAAAGAAAGTAGAATGGTGGTTGCAAGGACTGAGAAGAGCGGGAAATGGTGAGTTTTTATTTAATGGGTATAGACTTCAATTTTGCAAGATAAAAGAGTTCTGGAAATCGGATGCACAACCATGTGAAAATACTTAACACTACTAAACTGTACACTTAAAAATAGTTAAGATGCTAAATTTTATATTATGTATATTTTACCAAAAATTATAAAAAGAAATAAATGCTAGAATGAAGAGGAAAACGATAGTAAAAACAAAATGTTACTAACACATAATACACTGGGAAAATGCAATAATAAGCAAAAATTATTTTCCTATATCCAAAAATAATTTGGTAGGAAAATACACAGAGAAAAAGTATTAATCTTAATAAACAACAGAAAAAGCATAACATATCATGAATAAAATAAAAAGAAACATGATGTGTCAATATGAATAAAATGATCAAGAATTACTGAAAAACATAAAACAATACTTGGGTATAAGGAGAAATACAATATATCCCTAAAACAGAAAATTTAATATGAGACAGAAATGTCAGCTCTTCCCAATTTGTTGCACAATTCCAAAAAAATGTCAGTGTAATATTTTTAAGGAGCTTTACAGATACTCAGCAAAGAAGTTAGTGTCACACTTAAGAGCTTAGGTTTTCAAATCATGCATTTGAGTTTAAATAGCCCTACCACTTAACCAACACCGTGCCCTTGGAAAGTTACTTAACTTCTCTGTATTGCAGACTTAAAATTAAGCCAAGTCCAAATACAGTCCCATAGAGAAGTTCTTTAGGTTACTACAGTTTGTTCACATTAAGATCAATAAACTCTCCCAGAAACATTTATTATAGATCCACATTGAGGTTGATAATTAATCATCCTTTCATGCATCCATAAAATATTTATCAAGCTTTCTCTAAACTAGGCCCTGAGTACACTGTGCAAGGTGTAGGGGGTACAAACACACATAAAAATATGATCCTTACCTTCAAAAGGCTCACAGTCTACTACGCAGTAGGTGTACTATCATATTTTTCTCTAAGAACAGAAAACTATGCTGAATTAAGTGAGTTGCAAATTAGTTATAATTTTGGTAATATAACCCTGGAACAGCCAGACAGGTAAGCCATATAAATACTTAAGATAAATGGACAAATAACATTAATAGGACTAGTTTAAGCCAGGAAGTGTCAAGAAGCATCTGAGTTAAAAAGAAGACAGAGCAGATAAATGAGAAACTTAAGAGCAAAGTATAAAATAATTCATTTCTTCCATTTATATTAAAATAAATTCGATTTCTGAAGCTATTTAAAAAAGAGAAAGGGTTAATCTTTTAGAATCAACTATGTCTTATAGCTTGGGTGGGGCTGACCTGGGATTGATTTACATTTTGTTATATAAGTTCCAGACATCATTGTTTTATTTTTCTCCTTTAATTAGGCAATATAACTGGCACATATACATCCCTATTGATAAAATATTTTAGTCAGGGGTGAGCGTTACATCAGAGAACTAGTATAATCTAGAGTACAATAGGGGAGAAAGTAACTGGTGCTTTGCTAATCATAAAAATGAGTAAAAAAAGTACGGTAATGTACAAGAAACTCTGTAGGAAGATGGTGTTGATAGTAATACAAAAAGCTAGATGTTATCAAAAAGTTTACTGAACTGATGTTTATGTTTAGAGTTATATTTAAAACTACAATCAAAATTCCTACCAGAAAATAATTTTGGTACTAAGATTCTAAAATACATATTTCTGAGAATTATAAAATGAAACCATTATTCAACCATAAAGCAAACTTACCAGATTTTTGCCATCTTGCTTATGGATAGTTACAACTCGGCTTTCATCTGAACCCTCTTGGTTTGCTTGCTTAATACTGACATCAATAATATTAGGAAAATCGCAATATAACTGTAAATCCTATAGTTTAAAAGCATGTAAAATTAAAAACGTAGAATTTATGGAGCCATTTTAAAACAAGACTTATGAAGAAGACAACATTCATTCCAAATTCTTTAAAATAAAAAAGGTATTGATAACAACAGATAAGCATTAAATATGATTTCCTCTATCAATCTAACCCTAAGACTATGCTGTGTCTTGTTTGACTTAAAAATGAGAGCATTAAATGATGCCAGGAATCTAAAATGTGCTATGGCACTCTTCAATTCAATTAACATTAGTAGAAACCACTGCCAGAAGACTGGAAATGAGACTACCAAAGATGAAAAATTAAAAAATCATCCCTCTAAATCTCTAGTAACAATCTCTGAACAACATGGATACTAATAAATTTAAAACTTGCAATGCAAACCTAAAAAAAATTAATTAATTATTTAGCAGGTATATATTATCATAAAATCAATTAATATTAATCTTTTCTAGCTAACAAGTTTTATAATTATGCCTTCTGTTATCACTAATAGTGAAAGAAAGGCAAAACTCCTTTAAAATCACTATTAGAATTGGATACCTTTCTGAAACTGTAATATAGTCATTGCTAATTATTTTGTCATAAAAAATTAAATGAAAAAACCATTTAAGAATAGCAGGCAAAGAATTATATGACCTTGATAGCTTCACACTATTAAAACCTTCCACTTCTATCAAATGGGAGAAGTGCAAGACCATGTTGCAAATGATTAAAATTACTTTGTTTTTATTTCCATTCTACTTAAAATAACAAAGAACAAGAACATATCATTAAGGATTACCTGTTCTGTCAGTGTCTCACTTTCTTTATGTTTCCCTCTTGACCACTGAATTCCACCGTTTCCAGTTATTATAATGGTTGCAAAAATCTCCTCACCTGAAGGACCACTTCCAGGTTCTTTTACTTCAAATTTCTCTGTGTAGAAGGCAGACTGCAGGGTTTCCAGATTTATAAGATACTTAAGTTTCAAGTTTCTGGCAGTGGCTTTGCATTGGCTGAACTGCTGAATAAATCTGCGAAATCTGTACCTTATTCGCTTCCTTGTCAAAATATGATAGTCTTGGATCTTTGCTCGAATACATTTTGGTAAGAATGTCTTGTAGCTGCAGATAAAAAAAGCACATACAGAAAAACAAAACAAAAATTAGAAGATCAATCTAAAAATTGAAAAAGAAGTTACCACCCTTTTCCATGGTTAAGTAGGCATTACAACACAGTGGCCAAGTGGAGTAAGTTGCCATAACCCCCATCCATACAGTATAAAACTTTAAGATTTTGTTTGATGATACAAATATATCCACACACTGAAGTTATCATCAATGTTTACAAAAGAAGATGTTAATCTTCTTCCCCTAATGAAATGAATCCTCAGTCTAGTTAGTAAGAGTCTCTAAAAATTCCTGTTCTTTATTTCATACACCAGAGTTAATGGTTGATAAGATAATATTTTGGCACATATTGAACTATGCTACAAATATTTCCTATGATGCTGTGCTCCAAAATTTACCTGAATTTTGGAAATTGTTACATTCTGTTGGAAGCTATTTTCATTATGGAAACATACTTCTGTATATTATTTTGTTAGGCCAGCTTCAACTCCTAATAATTCCTTTGTGATCAAAACAATTCCATTTAGAAATGTTCTGACTTTTCTGTACATTCATCTCTGTGCAATATTCTAAAGAAGGTTATTTCTCTGCTTCTAAGGAACATTTTATTTCTAAAGTACCAATAAATAATTTTCCATGCCTTAATATATGCTAATCTTTCTTCTAATCATCCATCTCCTATCTAGTTACCCATTCTACAAGGCTCAGCTCAAGCATCATCAAATCCAGGAAACCTTTCTGGACCTCATTCTATGACATATTAGATGTGGAATCCACAGATACAAAGGACTTGCCAAATTAATGTCCTTCCCATCTAAAATGTAAAACCTCTTAATCCCACATTTCCCTCTAGCCACAGCCTATCTGGCCTCTTTTTGAAAGAATGTACATAGCCATTTCCATTTTCTTGCCTTCCATTTATCCCTCAACTCATTCCAATTTGGCTCTGTTCCATTATTTCAAGAGAAACTGCTCTTGCTAAAACCAAGAAAGATACCCATGTTGCTAAAACCACATTTCCACATGGCACAAGACACAAAAGAAAAATCTGGCAATTAGACTGCTTCAAAATTAAAACTTTTGTGCTACAAATGATACCTTCAGGAAAGTAAAACAACAATATACAGAATGGGAGGAAATAGTGGCAAATCATAAATATGATTATATGTGGAGACTTGTATTCAGAATATAAAAAGAATTTTTTTAACTCAACAATTAAAAGACAACTAACCCAATTAAAAAATGAGCAAGGAATTCAAATAGACGCTTCGCTAATAAAGGCATACAAATGGCCAAAAAGTACATGAAAAGATGCCAAACATTAGTAGTCATCAGAGAAATGAACATCAAAACTAGAATGAGACAGCTCTTCCACCCACTAGGATGGATAAAATAAAGACAGACAGAAACAAGTGCTGAAAAAGTTGGAACTCTTCATGTACTGCTAGTGTGAATGTAATGTGGCACAGCTGCTTTTGAAAAGTTAAGCAGTTCCTCAAAAAGTTAGAGTTACCATATGTTCCAGGAATTCCACTCCTAAATGTATGCACAAGAAAAAATGAAAAAATACATCCACAAAATTACTCATATACAGCTGTTCATAGCCACATTAGTCACAATAGCCAAAACATGGAAGCAGCCCACATTTTCATAAAGTGAAGAACAAATAAGCAAAATGTGGTATATCTATATAATGAAATATGATTCAGCAATAAAAAGAAATGAAGTACTGATACATTCTACAACATGAATGAATCTTGGAAACATCATACTAAGTGAAAGAAGTCAGACAAAAAAATGCCACACCACATTTTGCATGATTCTATTTATATGAAATGTTTGAGACAGGAAAATCCACACAAACATAAAGTGATTTCCAGAGGCTAGGGGAAAGTGGGATGAGGCCTGAATGCTAATGGGCATGGGGTTTCTTTCAGAAAGAATGAAAATGTTCTAAAATTAGATTGTGGAAATCTTTATACAACCCTGTGAATATAATACAAAATATTAAATTGTACACTTTAAATGGGTGAGATTTATGATTTGTAAATTATCTCAATAAACTCTTAAAATATCACAGAATCTTATATAAGTGTTTAATATCTACACTATTTTTAAAGTAAAGCAGTAAAAAAGAATGATGCAGCATTTTGCATGGCTAAGAGCATGAGTTAAAAGAATCAGATAAATACACTTACTAAATAGTCATCAGGTTTAGAACACTAGACTAAATAATGTAGGGAGAAGAGTAATAGATGACATGATTCTCGACCTGGAAGAAACTACAATCTACATAGAAAGATTGTGCCGAGACTTTGGATGACATCATGGTTTCCAAAGCAGAAATATTCCACGATAGCATAAGTCTAGAGATGGCTTCATATTTATAACATGCATCTTCAATGGGTCAAAGCTTCTGTTCTTCAACTGTGTTCCCCTCAATTCCTTTGGTTTCTATGTAACGACATCTAAGATACTCTTCCTGCGACTATGTTCTACTATAACCTGGCATACAGCAAGTATTCAATAAATAGCTACCAAATGAATGAATGAATGTGGTTTTTTTTTTTCCTTTGGGCTTTGGAATCTTTTAGATTCCTGAGTTCCTAAAATTATACCCTATGTCTTACACCATTGAGTTAAGGCCAAATAGACATCTGAAAGTAAAACAAGAATATTTAAAACCAAAGAGAGAAATACAGAAATTGATACTCTGCAAATTGGGTATGTAACTGTTTTGATGACAGGGCAAAGAAATGAATAAAGCCAGTTATTGGGAGAACAATTTCAAAAAAGGAAGCTTTAAGCACATTCATGACATACTCAAATTTTTAATCTGGTAAAGTATGTAATATATAAAATACATATTTAGCCTTCAAACTTAAAAGTCAAATCATTCTTAAATATACCTTTTTAAAAAGTAGTTTTATAGCCTGTAGAGTTTCAGAAAACTGTTATTAGCCATGATTGTCAAGTTCAATATGCAGAAGAATAATTTGAAGAATGCAGAGTTTGGATCACTTGTATAAGAACACCCTAGAGCACCTGTAAAAATTCACATTTGTGGGCTTCAACTCGGATTTACTGAATCCAAATCTCTTGGATTAGGACCCAGAAATCTTTGATTTTAACAGACACCCCCATGTGATTCTAATGCAAATAAAATAATACACCACCATTTGGGAAATACTTATTCAGGTCATTTATATAGCCAGCTAGAGGATCTACTATCAAAAAGTATGCCTCCAGGTGTTTCTTCCATTCCTCTGAACTTACCTAGCCTTCTCAGAATAAATGAAATCAAATAATAGATATTTAATACCTATGATATTTCCTGTAATACAACTCTTTCAATAATTTCACCTTACAAAGTGTGTGTTACTCCCAAGATACAAAACTTACCCGTATGATTTTTTATTACAGGTTGACTATCCCTCTTGCAAGTATCTGAAATCTGAAATGTTCCAAAACCCAGAACTTTTTGAATGTCAACATGATGTTCAAAGGAAATGCTCATTAGAGCATTTTGGATTAGGGTTGCTCAACTGTTAAGTTCAATGCCAATATTCCAAAATCTGGAAATATCCAAAATCTGAAACATTTCTGATTCCAAGCATTTTAGATAAGGGGTACTTAACCAGTATTACAAAATCAAAAGGCATGGGTAAACACAGAAAATATATAGGAATTATATAAAATCTCTACTCACACTTATGTGTAAGGATTTGCAAAAGAAAATTACCTGATAGAATTATAGATGGCCAGTGGGGTTTGATCATTTTCTTTGGCTATTCTCATCATATCTAACACTGCCATCCCAAGACATTCCTCCTGTGTTTCATGAGTCACAGGTACTTTTATCCATCCATGCACAAAATCATGCCGCCACTGAAACCAGAAATTTAGAAGGAAATATCTCATCATAAGTTTCATTAACATGTTTTAATCTATGATTGTATTTTAATCATAATTTTCAGAACATGTGCATTTACAAGCTACAAACTGGCCAGGCTCAGCAGCTCATGCCTGTAATCCCAGAACTTTGGGAGGCCAAGGCATGAAGATCACTTGAGTCCAGGAGATTGAGACCAGCCTGGGCAACATAACAAGATCTCGTCTCTACAAAAAATTTAAAAATTAGTCAGGCATGGTGGCACACACCTGCAGTCCCAGCTACTCGGGGCGCTGAGGTAGGAGGATCTCTTGAGCTATGATCACACCACTGCACCCCAGTCTGGGTGACAGACCAAGACCCAGTCTCTAAAATAATAAATAAATAAATTCCTCCTTTAATTTTCATTCATTTTGCAATACAATTTTAATAAAAGTTCATTTGCAAATGAAAACTGATTTACACTGGGTTCCCAATTACAAAGTACATACAACATTGGCCTATTTCATTGCCTATATCTTCAATTTATATGTTCTACATAAAAATTACCTAAATTAAAATAGATATTACTGAATTAAATATATACTGAACTCCAATTATGTTGGAAGCATCATACTACAAATGGTGTTGGATACAAAGAAATAGCCATGTGGCCCATAACAATGTTTTGGTCAATGGCAGACCACATATATAATGATGGTTCCATAAGATTGTAATTCTGCATTTTTACTGTACCTTTTTTATGTTTATATATGTTTAACTACACAAATACCATTGTGTTAAAATTCCCTACAATATTCAGTATAGCAACATGCTATATAGGTTTGTAGCCTAGAGCAATAATAGGCTATACCATATAGACTAGGCATATACTAGGCTATACCATATAGGTTTGTATAAGTACAATACATGATAATCACAGAATAATAAAACTGCCTAATGACTTATTTCTCAGAATATATCCCCATAAGTAAGTGACACATGACTGTATAAGATGTGGTCTCAGTCATCAAGGGGACCAAAATTTAGCTTAGAAGCTAAACGGAAGCAAATAATTATAATGCCAGACATGATATAGGAAGCACCACACAAAAGCTCCTTCAGGAACTTGGAGACGGTTAAGATTATATTCAGTTGGAGTAATCAAGGAGGGTTTCATGGAAGATTTGAAACTTCACAGTGTGTTTAAAAATAAAGAAATGTATGATGGACACAAAACAGGGTAAAGAAATAGAAGGAACAAGACACACAAAAAAGCACAAGATATGTTCAGATGCATAAACTAATTTGATTAGGGACTGAAGTTTATGTGAAGAAATAATGTGGATTAAAACCTAGAAAAGTAAGTTGGGGTCAGACTGCAGGTGCCCTTGAATGACCTAATCCTAGAAACTATGGAGATCTATTTTCATCATGTCTCTTCCATTGGTAGAGTAGTAGCAATGATAGAAGTGCTTGAAGAAAATAAAGTGTATGCAGAGAGGCTCTTTAAGAGGCTGGTGTATGGCTCAGATATGAAATAATAAGGATCTGATCCAGGAAACATAAGATACTAAAAGATTCTGAAAAAGGCTGATACTTTATTAACTATATATTGTATAAAGAATGAAGAAGAGAGAAACACAGAGGTTCTAAGATTTTGACCTGAAGGATTTAGGAAGACAGATAAATCAGACTGAACATGTAATGGGAGAAAGAAAAAGAAAGCAAAAGTACAAATATTCTAAACATAATACCAATTTTCTTTGTAGAAAAAAGGTAAGAGCCGTATCACCTAAAATAACAATGTGAATCAAGGTTTTAAACTGGACAAGAGAAATATAGGTCCTTCTATACTCTACATCTGTATTTCCCTTCTTTTGATGTTGATAACTTGTCTCACGAACTTAAAGCTTTACTGGAACCTTTTTAAACTAATTTTATTAAAAGAAACATATATTCAAAAGTATATTTGCTTTTTAATTAATAAAATATAGAAGATATTTTCATATAAGAAAATAAACTATTAAGAAGCACACCATCATATAATCAGTATTAACCAAAACAAAGGCCTAAATGTTGCTAATACAAAATTAATTCAGGGTAGGAGATAGATTTTTGCTCAGTTTTAAACACTTATTTCACCACACTTTTGAGAACAGGCAAGTAAGTTATACTGTTTAAGTAGAAGATGATCAATGACTTGGTAGATTCTTTTTAATAGCTTGCCTTGGTTCCATATAGAACTAGTAGAGAGTCTGGACATGGTGGCTCACGCCTGTAATCCCAGCACTTTGGGAAGCCAAGGTGGGCAGATGACAAAGTCAGGAGTTCGAGACCAGCCTGGCCAACATAGTGAAACCCCATCTCTACTAAAAATACAAAAAATTAGCTGGGTGTAGTGGCGGGCACCTGTAATCCCAGCTACTAGGGAGGCTGAGTCAGGAGAATCACTTGAACCCAGGAGGCAGAGGTTGCAGTGAGCCGAGATCATGCTATTGCCCTCCAGCCCGGGCAACAGTGGGAGACTCTCTTGTTGCGGAAAGTCAGAGACCCCAAACGGAGGGACCAGCTGAAGCCGCGGCAGAAGAACATAAATTGTGAAGATTTCATAGACATTTATTAGTTCCTCAAATTAATACTTTTATAATTTCTTATGCCTGTCTTTACTCTAATCTCTGAACATAAATTGTGAAGATTTCATGGACACTTATCACTTCCCCAGTCAATACCCTTGTGATTTCCTATGCCTGTCTTTACTTTAATGTCTTAATCCTGTCATCTTCATAATCTGAGGGGGATATATGTCACCTCAGGACCCTGTGATGATTGCGTCAACTGCACAAATTGTTTGTAGAGCATGTGTGTTTGAACAATATGAAATCTGGGCATCTTGAAAAAAGAACAGGGTAACAGCAATGCTCAGGGAACACCAGACATAAGACTTCTGGCCGCAAGTGAGCAGGACGGAACAGAGCCATATTTCTCCTCTTTCAGAAGCAAATAGGAGAAATATCGCTGAATTCTTTTTCTCTGCAAGGAACATCCCTGAGAAAGAGAATGTGCCCTGAGGGTAGGTTTGTAGACGGCCCCCTTAAGGCATGCCGTCTTTTATGGTCCAAGCTGAAGGGATGAAAAAAGCCTCGGTCTCCTGTAGCGCTCCCAGGCTTATTAGGACGAGGAAAATTCCCGCCTAATAAATTTTGGTCAGACAGGTTGTCTGCTCTCAAAACCTGTTTCCTGATCAGATGTTCTCAATGACAAATGTGTGCCCGAAACTTCATTAGCAATTTTAATTTCGCCCCATCCTGTGGTCCTGTGATCTCACCCTGCCTCCACTTTCTTTGTGATATTTTATTACCTTGTAAAGTATGTGATCTCTGTGACCCACACCCTATTTGTGCACTCCCTCCCCTTTTGAAAATCGCTAATAAAAATTTGCTGGTTTTACGGCTCTGGGAACATCACGGATCCTGCCGACATTGTCTCCCCCGGACACCAAGCTTTAAATTTCTCTCTCTTATACTCTTTCCCTTTATTTCTCAAACCAGCCAAGACACCTAGGAAATAGAAAAGAACCCATGTAACCATCGGGAGCAGGTTCTCCCGATACTCTGTCTCAAAAAAAAGAAAGAAAAGAACTGGTAGATAACAAATTCTGCTCATGTGGATATTCTGTGGAACTCATGACCAAAAGACAATAAATATATGAAAAATTAGTGATAGCAATACTAAAAACATAATCAACTATTCACTAGAGAAAAGTTAAAAATGGAAGAGTCTCAAATGCCAAAACATAATACTATTCCTTAAATATTATAGTATGTACCATCAAAATTTTCATTTAATTAAAACTACTGAAAATTTCAGGCCAGGTGTGGTGGCTCACACCTGTAATCCCAGCACTTTGGGAGGCTGAGGTAGGAGGATCATTTGAAGCCAGGAGTTTAAAACCAGCCTGGACAATAGAGCGAGACCCCATCTCTACAAAAACAAAACTAAAAAAATTAGCCAGGCATAGTGGCACACACCTGTACCTAGCTACTCGGGAGGCTGTGAGGCTAAAGCAAGACAATCACTTGAGCCCAGGAATTCAAGGCTGCAGTGAGCTATGATCCTGCCAGCCTGGGCATCAAAGACCTCCATCTCTACAAAAAAAATAAGAAAGAAAACCTTCTCATCTGAGTAGCAGACAAAATTTGAGCTTAAGAAATTTACATTGCAGTATTAATGTTAGGCTAAAGTAGCTGAATGAAGAGTTTGGGAAAACTTGGCTTATAAATGGGACTTAACTAGCCTGCCCCCAAAATAAACTAGCTCTGCAGGACAGGTGAATAATATACCCGTAAAAGCAACAGAAAGTTGTAACCTCATCACATCCTATTTTCAAAAGGCTATTCTCAGAAGCCTCTCTCCATCCCCCTCTCTTTTTATAATGGCTATAAAGATAAAGGAGCTGTATAAAAAAGTAAGTTGGTGGTCAAATGATTTTCAACAAAGGTGTCAAGACCATTCAATGGAGAAAAGACAGTCTTTCAACAAATGGTGCTAGGAAAACTGGATATTCACAAGCAAAAGAAGTTGGACCCTTACCTTACACGATAGACAAAAATTAACTCAAAATGGACCCAAGGCCTAAATGTAAGAGCTAAAACGATAAAACTCTTGCAAGAAAACAGAAAGAAAGCTTCATAACATTGGATTTGGCAATGATTTCTTGGATACGACACCAAAAACATAAGAAACAAAGAAGAATAGATAAATTAGAATACAGCCAAATTTAAAACTTTTGTCCACCAAAAGACAAGTAACAGAATGAAAAGACAACCTAGAGAATGGGAAAAACTATGTACAAATCATGTATCTTATAAGGAGTTAAGATCCAGAATAATAATTTCTGCAATACAACAACAACAAACAAACAACCTGATTTAAAAATGGACCAAGGACTTGAATAGACATCTCTGCAAAGAAGACAAACAAATGGCCAACAAGAGACATCTCTGCAAAGAAGACAAACAGATGGCCAACAAGCATATGAAAAGATGCTCATGATCACTAGTTGTTAGAGAAGTAATGCATCAAAATCACAATGATACCACCTCATACCCATAGGGATGGCTATTATCAAACAAAGCAAAGCATTGTTGAGGATGTTAAGAAATTGGAACACTTGTGCACTGCTGGTAGGACTGAAAAATAGTACAGCCACTACAGAAGACAATGTAGCAGTTCCTCAAAAAAATTATAAATTTACCATATGATCCAGCAATTCCACTTCTGGGTATGTATCCAAAAGAACTGAAAACGGACTCAAGGAAATATTTGTTTACCCATGTTCACAGCAGCAACCCACGTATCCATCGACAGATGAATAAGTACACATATGCAATGAAATATTGTTCAGCCTTAAAAAGGAAAGAAATTCTGGCACATGCTACAACATGGATGAACCTAGCAGACATTATGCTAAGTGAAATAAGCCAGTCAAAAAAGGACAAATGCTATATAATTCCATTTGTATGAGGTACCTAGAAAAGGCAGATTTATAGTCAAAAGTAGAATAGTGACTGCGAAAGGCCACTGGGAGTGGGAAATAGAGAGTTATTATTTAATGGGTATGAAATTTCCATTTGGGAATATGAAAAATGTTCTGGAGATGGATGGTGGTGATGGTTGTACAACAATGTGTTTGTATTTAATACAACTGAACTGCACACTTAAAATGGTCATTTTTATTATATATTTCTTAACAAAATAAAAATAAAGTTTGTTGGTCTCATACCCCAATAGAGAAATATTTTTCCTTTTGTTGTTCATAAACTGAACTAGCCTTACTAGGCTTCTTCTCGGAAATGCGAGCCATGAGGATTTGTGGGCTTATGTCCTACAATATTAGCAAATCGGATTTAGAACTCCTGACACCTTGGGGATACCAAGTGCATATTTCTACCCAAGAGCACTAATATATTTTCTTCCTTTAGTTTCTATTCATACTAGTCTAGCAGCACATAAAAACAAGTTATTTAATGACAAAATATTTCAATTACTGTTTAAATCAAGGTACTAGAGAAGAAAGCATTATGAAATACCAACACAATACCAAAATTTGACATAACTGTATTAGTGAACAAATAACTTGAATATAGCTCTTAGACTAAGTATCAACATCCAGTCACCTTCCTATAAACAGCTACACAAACTATCATAGCTTATTTTTTATGTAGCCTACTTCCTCTACAGTTCATTGTCCATTGTGTAAGCCTGAAATTATCCAAAATTTTCTTAAAACCCTAAAGAAATGTTACTAATATTTTAGCCACATATGCCTATATGAATCATTCTGTAAATAAACCTCAGTCTATACCTTGTGAAATCCTTAAAATGATCTAAAGTCCTAAAAAAAAAAAAAAAGAAATTCAAAAGGATCAATCCAAAAAAAACTTTATAAAATAGATTCTATTATCCATAAACCATGGGATTAAAAACTAGTGATAAAAAGCCTCAATTTTGTTACTTCTCTGCACTTGCTGTGCAAGACAGAACTGCAATTTTCCCATATGTGAAGTTTTTCCTGATTAAGTGACTTACTAAACAGCAAAATATTTATCATTTAATACATGTACAAGTAAGATAGTATAATCATACCTGAGCAAAGAGGTAAGACATGACAAAGTCATCAAGAAGAGGAGCTTCAGCACCTCGAGATATTCCATGCCGATAGGCTCTGTTGCTGCCGCTGCAATACCAACGAGGAAAGTAAAATCTACAAGATAATAAAAACATTTGGTCAGCTTCCAAACAGTTCATATACAAACATACTATCTATATATAGTCACCTACAGCATACTGAAAGGTATTATCCCATACTTAGAAAACACAGCTAACAGTATTAAATATAAATTCGAGACAAAAGGATATGTGGATAACACTAATATAGGCAGAAAGTACAAGAAATGTAAGTGTAAAATCAATATACAACCTCCTTCAGTGCACAAAATGTAGAAGCAATAAGAAACAAAAAATGTAGAAATAAAACCTTAACAAAAAGTAAAAACATAATTTAATCCAGTAACACCAGTAGAGAATCTGAAAATGCTAATTTGGCATAAAAACAAATAATTGTTTCTTTGGAGAAATAGAAGTTAAAAACTTGTCCGTCAAAGAAACAAAGAATACTCTATATTGAGTCTTTTAGTAACACCTTTATTGAGATATAATTCACATGCCATAAAGTCCACCCACTTAAAGTGTAAAATTCAATGTTTTTAGTTTATTCATAGCATTATACAAATATCACCACACTCTAATTTTAGAACATGTGGCCTGTCTACCTTCTTTCACTCAGCATAATGTTTTCAGGGTTCATCCACATTAGAGCATGTATCATTACTTGATTCCCTTTTATTGCCAAATTAATATTTCATTGTATGAATATACCACTTTTTCCGTATCCATTCATCGCCAGACAGACATTTGGGACTGTTTCTATTATTTTGCTATTGTGAATAATGCTGGTATGAAGAGTCATGTACAAGTTTTTGTGGATATATGTTTTCATTTCTATTGCATATATATCTAGAAGTAGAATTGCTGGGTCATATGGTAACTCTGTGTTTATCCTTTTGAGGAATGGCCAAACTGTTTTCCAAAGTAGCAGCACCACTTTACATTCCCAACAGCAATATATGGTTTCCAAACTAGTCCAAATCCTCTAACACTTGTTATTTTTGTCTTTCTGATTTTTGCCATCCTTGTAGATCTATGATTATCCCATTGTGGTTTTGATTGGCTTTTCTCTAATGACCAATGATGTTGGGCATCTTTTTGGGGGGGGGGGTTCACTTTCTTTCTTTTCTTTTCTTTTCTTTTTTTTTTTGTCTTTTTTTTTTTTTTTTTTTTTTTTGTTCATTTTTCTTTTCTTTTTTTTTTAAAAAGCCCCTAAGTTGTATGGCTTCAAAAGAGCATCAGAGAAACGTAAATGCCATTTCTGTACACTTGGTAAAGCAAAAACCAGATTCACGGCCACCGCCCTGGGCACGGCCTCAAGCTGACCCGCTGGGGGACCGCCAGCCAGTCCAGAGCCGCCCCCAGGCCCCTGCACATACACCTACGGGGCTGAGCCGGGGGCTTTAAGGCATTTTGTCTGCGGCTGCTTGCCGGGTGAGCACAGAGACAGGAAGCCCCCTGCCCGCGCGCCCCCATGCAGCAGAGCCCAGGGGCTGAGCAGGGCGACGCCAGCTGGCCCACCTGCCTCAGGTTCTGAGGGTCGGAGCACAGCCTCCGGGAACAGGTGCCTCGAGAAGCACCCTCCTAGCAGGGCCCACCTGCCCCTCACCGGGACGAGGCTGGGAAAGGCTGCAGTGGCCGAGACTGCGGCGCCTGAGCTTTGGTGCAGCATTTTGGGTGCGGAGCTGGCTTCAGCCACGGCCCCACCCCTCCCTTCCCCTTTAGTTTTGGGGAAGCCTGGGGCACAGCCTCACCCCTGGCAGCAATGCCTGTGTACCTCCCAGGTGGGCCTGGGCAAGATGGCCCCACAGCACCACTCCAGGTCAGGCCTGCCCTCCCCTCCAGAAAACGGCCTTTGGATTGAGGGAGAGAAGCTAGACTTTATGAAGCTAACGCAGGCGGATGGCGGGGCTGGGGCCGGGGCCGGGGCCGGGGCCAGAGCCAGGCCTCAGCCCTGAGGGCCTCCAGGATCGCACTACTCACTTCAGCAAAGAAATGGAGGGGCAGGGTTGAGGGTAGAAGGGGTCTTCCCCCCCAACTTTTTTCCTTGTTTTAAATAGTTAATGCTCTTGGAGGGGCGGACTAGACACAGGTATAGAAATTTTGGCCAGTTTTATGTGAAGGAAGTGACCCCTCGTCTACGGGATGGGGCCACCGGCCGAGACAGGCGCAGGCCCTTAAGTCTGCGTCCCGGCTTCCAGCCAGAGTCTGGCCCTGGGCTGCTGTGGGTGGGCCCCAAGGGCCTCACACAAGCTCACGCCCCAAGGGGCTGCACGGAGAAGATTGAAGGGGAAGAAACAGCAGCATTTGGTTTCATCGCCCACCTCCATCTCTGCAGGCGCCGTGATAGGCGCGGGACTGGCCGGCCATGGGGTCGTCCACATTCAGCTCCCCATTGGTGGAGGTCAGCACCTGGTTTTTGCTGTGTGGCTGATCTTTGTCCCAAAGCTGAGGCTGGGAGGGTTGGTTGGTGTGGACGGTGCCGATGGGCGTTGCCAAGGGCTTCCTGGGCCAGTGGTACTCAAAGTCGAACAGGAAGCCGCTTCGGTCAAAGAGGTCGGTGGAGAGGTGCACAGGTAGTCACAGTCGGGTTTCTCGAAGTCCAGGCGCTGCACGTAGTGCAGGTATGTGGCCATCTCCTCTGGAAAGTTCTAGCAGAGCACTTCGATGGGCGTGGTGCACTTGGTGTTCCCGATATTCTGTACCGCTCATGATCGTGTCGGCCTTGAGCCCCTGCCAGGGGAGGCTGCAGCACAGGAAGTACATGAACATGTGGCCCAGCACCTCCAGGTCACTGCAGTGGCTCTGCTCCTTGCCCAGCTGCATGTTGATGTTCATGTAGCGCACCCTGCCTGTCAAGCTCTTGTGCTCACGGTACGGGATGTGCTTCTTGGTCTCAAGGCCAATGTACCCCTTGGCCAGCCCGAAGTTGATAATGTGGATAGCGAGCTGCCGCTTGGTCCCCGGGCGCCACACCACGAAGTTCTCGGACTTCACGTCCTGGTAAATGAGGCTCTTGGTGTGCACAGACTCCATGCGTGCGATCAGCTGGATGGCGATCGGGAGCACCGTTTTCAGCGTGAAGGTTGAACAGGTCCTTCAGGCTGGGCCCCAGCAGCTCCAGCACCATAGCGTTGTACTTCCAGCACAGGCCGAAGTAGTAGGTAGTAGACCTGAGGGGCGCCCTCAGTGGCGCTCAGCCGCTTGTAGAACCAGTACCCCACGTGCAGCTGTGGGGCCCGGGACTTCATCAGCTCCAATTTGACAGCCACGTATTTGTTTGTATAGAGATCCTTTCCTTGGCTCTGCCATGGCCGGGCCGCAGGCAGTGTCTGGGCGGCCGGCCAGGCTTCAGCAGCGCGGCGCGGACCCCCGCTCCAGCCCTTCTCCCACTTCCGCTCGGGCTCGGACGCCCACTCGGGCCCTGCTCCAGCTCCTGTGCCGCCTGGGCCAGCCTCCGTATGTTCCGGGCGGGAGGCGCCTGGCATGCCACACTCCCCTGAGCCCGCTCTGGGGCCCGCCTGTTGGGCATCTTTTTACATGCTTATTGGCCATTTGTATGTCTTATTTGGAAAAATGTCTATTCAAGTCCCTTGCCTACTTTTTAGATTAAGTTGTATTGTTGAGCTGTAAGAATTCTTTTATATTCTGGAGATAAGACAGTTATCAGAATGTATGATTCCCAAACATTTTCTTCCATTTTGTGGGTTGTCTTTTCACATTTTTGATAGTGTTCTTTGACGCACAAATGTTTTTAACTTTGATAAAGTCTAACTTAACTATTTTCCTTGTCACTTGAGCTTTTGGTGTCATATCTAAGAAACCACTGCCTAATCTAAGTACACAAAGACTTGTGTTTCTTCTTGGAGTTTTAATAAGTTTAGCTCTTCTATATAGGCCTATGATCCACTTTAAGCTTTTTTTTTTTTTTTTTTTTGTATATAGTGTGAAGTAGCTGTCTTACTTCATTATTTTACATGTGGATATCCAGCTGTCCCAGCACTATTATTTAAAAAGACTATTCTTTGCCCATGAATTGTCTTGGCACCCTGATCAAAAATCAGTTACCATCAATGTGAGAAATTATATTGAGACTGTCAATTCCTTTCCATTAATCTGTATATTCATCCTTTAGTACTACATTGTCTTGATTACTGTAGTTTTGTAATAAATTTTGAAATTAGGAAGTAAAATCTTCAAACTTTGTTCTTTTTCAAGACTGTTTTAGCTATGCTAAGTCCCTTTGCTTTTATATAAATTTATGATTAACTTGTCAATTTCTGCAATAAAGAGAGCTAGGATTTCAGTAGGAATTGCACTGACCATACAGATCAATTAAGGAGTATTGCCATATTAAAAATATGAAGTCCTCTATAAGATATCTTTCCATTTATTTAGGTGTTTCCTTAATTTCGTTCAATAATGTTTTATATTCCTCAGTGTATACATTTTACACTTTTTGTTAAGTTTATTCCTAAAAATTTGTTATGCTATTGTTAATGAAATTTTTTAAATTTCATTTTTGGATTGTTCGTCTGTGTATAGAAATACAACTGATTTTTATATATTGATCTTCTATTCTGCAACTGACCTGAGCTCATTTATTAGTTCTAATAGTTTTTTATTAATTCCTTGGGATTTTTAATATGCAAGGTCATGTAATCTGTGACTACACAATCATCCTTTGGTATCTATGCAGTACTAGTTCCAGAACTTCCCACACATACCAAAATCTGCAAATACTCATGTTCCTGATATACTATTTGCATACAACCTGTGCACATACTTCAGTATACTTTAAAATCTCTAGACTACTTATAATCTAATACAATGTAAATGTTATGTAAATAATTGTTATACTGTATTCTTTAAGGAATAATAACAAGAAAAAGTCTGTACATGTTCAGTACAAGCACAACTTTTTTTCCATATATTTTCAATCTGTAGTTGGTTTAATCCATGGATGTGAAACCCATGGATACAGCGGGATGACTATAGTTTTACTTCTTATTTTCCAATATAAATGCCTTTTATTTCTTTTTCTTGCCTTATTTCCCTACCCTGAATCTACAGTATAGTGTTAAATCAAAGTGGTAAGAGTAGCTATCCTCATCTCATTCCTGATCATAGAGAGAAGGCATTCAGTCTTTCACCATTAAGTACGCCATTACTTTTGGATTTTTTTATAGATGCCCTTGAACAAATTGAGGAAGTTCCTTGCCATTCCTATTGTGTTGAGATTTTTTATAATGATGGGATGCTGGATTTTATCAAATACTTTTTCTGTGTCTATTGGGATGATCATGTGGTTCTGGTCATTTATTCTATTAATGTGGTATATTACACTGATTGATTTTTGGAAGTTGCACTAACCTTGTATTTCCTGGGATAAATCCCACCTGGTCATGGTATTTAATATTTTTGTAAACACACTGAGCATTCCTAATCTGAAAATCTGAAACCTGAAATGCTCCAAAATCCAAAACCTTTAGAGCACTAACCTGATGTGCAAAAGAAATATTCATTAGAGCATTTCAGACTTTAGATTTTTAAATTAGGTATGTTCAACCAGTGTATACTCTGCAAATATTCTGAAAATCTGAAAAAAAATCCAAAATCCAAAACATTTCTGGTCGCAAGCATTTCAGATAAGATATATTCAAGCTGTATTGCTGGATTTAATTTGCGAGTATTTTGTTGATTTTCTACCTACAACATTGGTCTGTAGTTTTGTTTTCTTCTAGACATCTTCGTCTGAATTTGTTATGAGGGTAATACTGAACTCACAGAAATAGGTGGGAAATCCTCCTTTCTTTGCTATTTTTTGTGAATAACTGGTAATAATTCTTTTAATGTGTGACAGAATTCACAAGTGAAGCCACTTGGGCCTGGGCTTTTATAAAAATTACTAATTTGATATCTTTACTTGTCATAGACCTATTCAAACTTTCTGTTCTTTCTTTTAGCAGTTCCCATAACTTGTGTCTTTCTAGGAATTTGTCCATTTCATCTTGATCCTCTAATTTGTTGGCATTAAAAACACTATCCATTAAACAATTACTTAACGTACATGAAGAAATATTTAACAAAAGAAGAACAAATCATTAATGGCGTTTTCAAAAAATTCTCAGCATCACTAGTTATGAGACCAACAAATAGTTGTAACTATGTGCATTATTCTCATAACTAGTGACACTATTTCTTCATGTACATTAAGTAATTGTTTAATGGATACTGTGTTTTTAATTTTATATTTATAAGAATACTAACCTTTTATCTGATTTGTTGAAACAATCTTTACAGTTTGCCTTTTCATTTTAAGAGGAAACCTTCGGACATCTGAAAATTTTTATAGTCGACAATTGCAATCATTCCCATAAGATTTCTTCTATTGTTTTGCAGCTTAAATGGTATTTTCCCAAGGACCTGAATTCAGTTCCAATTCAGACTTTTATAGTTTGATTTTCTTTACATTTCTATTTACATATCAATCTGATCTTTAATCAATCTATAATTTATCTGATATACATTATAAAGAAAGAAGCTAAAATTTTATTCAAACAGCTAATCAACTATCCCATCCCCATTTATTGACTAATCTCTCCCACATTAACGTGAAAAGATTTCTTCATATATTATGTTTCTATATGTATGAAGGAGTACTTTCAAGATATACTGGCCCCAACATTCTCATTATTTAGATTATGATTCTGAATTTAATTATGTGGCTTTAATAATAGATACCAGGCCGGGCGCGGTGGCTCAAGCCTGTAATCCCAGCACTTTGGGAGGCCGAGACGGGCGGATCACGAGGTCAGGAGATCGAGACCATCCTGGCTAACACGGTGAAACCCCGTCTCTACTAAAAAATACAAAAAACTAGCCGGGCGCGGTGGCGGGCGCCTGTAGTCCCAACTACTCAGGAGGCTGAGGCAGGAGAATGGCTTGAACCTGGGAGGCGGAGGTTGCAGTGAGCTGAGATTGGGCCATTGCACTCCAGCCTGGGCGGCAGAGCGAGACTCCATCTCAAAAAAATAAAAAATAAAAAAAATAAAATAATAGATACCATTTTGTAGTTTCATATAATGTGAAAATATCTCCTGGGACAAAATATTTTACAATTCCCAGATAAGTCTTCTTTCTCATGGCTATCTTATTTAATAATTCTAAATTAACATAGTAATGTGTCCAATTCCCTAAAATGCCTTTTTTAGGATTTTAATTGGCTTAGAGCTAAGCACATAGTGTAAGAGAAATTGATCTTTGTAATATTCCATCTGCCCATTCCAGTATTATGTCCTAATTCTTCATATTCTTCAAATAAGTTTCTAATTTTCCTATACCGTCTTGTGTTTTCTCTTATTAAAACCATTCCTGGTTAGTTAAGGGTTTTTGTAACTATATTGAATAGGATCTTCTTTATCTATTATATAAGTGGTTGCTTGCATATAATAATGCTATTGATTTTTGTACATCTATTATTTATTTGAACATTTATTGATTTTTTCACCAACTGTCTTTTCAATAATTATTTCAAAAATAATTTTTTGAACTCAGTGCAAATTATACATTAGATATCAGTAAATGCAAACACATCCAATTGCATATTTGTATATAGAATAGAGGAAGGGAAAGAAGCAAAACAATACTAAAATTTACTGAGACAGCATGAAGTGATAGGCACAATAATAAATACTATATATACATTATCTCTTTAATGAAGTACACATGAGGTGGTTAAGAGGCAAGCTTATGAAGCAAACTAGGCTTGGATTTGAACCTGACTCCCAATTCCTAGCTGTGTGACCATGAATAAATTTGAGTAATATTGTTTCTCAATGCTCTAAATTCTTTATCTTTAATGTGGAAATCTTAATACCTCCTTAAGTTATGATGAATTTTGTGTGTGTGTGTGTGTGTGTGTGTGTATATATATATGTAAATGCTTAGAAAAATCACAGGTATTTATGAGACACAAATCAAACATATCTTTGTTTCATCCTTTCAAGTAAAAAAATACTACTAGATTTCTCTAAATAGGCATTACACATTACCATAAATTATATAAATTAACTTACAATTTGAAGCTGCAAATACACACTGGGAAAAGTCTCTTTTCTTCACAACAACTTTTTTAAAAGTTCTTTGTAAAGATAAGATGTGAAATTGCATTTTATTGCACAAAACATTGCACAAACCAGCAATATCCCAAACATTTAGGATTTTGTTAATAAAGCCCATTCTGATTTTTTTTTACTTATTTAATTATAATCATAAGGAGTTAAGTGGCATCCCACCAAAACAGCTTTATTCTCAGACTATTCTACTTAAACAACATGTATGAACAGTTTCTCTGATGGAGAAACAGAATCTTAAATGAAATCTTAAAATGAGTGCTAACTAATTGGTTCAGGTCTCTGGTATTAACTACCTTGCAATTTAAAAATATTTGATAATTTCTCCCATTTTGCCTTTCAGCACTAAGTAAGTTACTTTACTGAAGAAAGTACCTTATTCTGTAGAGTACATTATGCCTGGTTGACTCATCTATATGGAAGACATGGTTGGGTGGATACCAGATCCTTTCTGTTTCACTCATTAAAGCAAACATATTATGATACACAGGTGTGATACCTAGAAAAGAAGCAGAGAAAGGAATTATTAAAGATACACAACAGAACATTTACATAGCACCTATAATTTGTAATGAGGCTAAAGTAACAACTCTTAAAATCAGAATGAAGTGTAGTAGCAGTCGAAATCTTTTGATATTCCACTCCCTACAACTGAATTATTAATCACAATCTTTTTTTATACAAACATACTTCGTTTTAGTGCACTCTGCATTATTGTACTTTGCAGATATTGTGGGGTTTTTTTCTTTACAAAATAAGGATTTACAGCAACTGTGAATCTGGTAGGTCTGTCAGCACCATTTTTCCAACAGCGTGTGCTCACTTTGTGTCTCTATGACACATTTTGCTAATTCTTGCAATATTTCAAACTTTTTCATTATTATTATATCAGTTATGATGATCTGTGATCAGTGATCTTCGACATTACAATTGTAATCGTTTGGGGCCGCCATGAACCGTGCCCATATAAGATGACAAACATAAGCAATAAATGCTGTGTGTGTTCTGACTGCTCCAGCAATAGCCATTCCTGTCTCTCTCCCTCTCCTTAGGCCTCTCTATTCCCTGAGATACAACTGTATGGAAAATAGGCCAATTAATAATCCTACAATGGCCTCTAGGCATTCAAGGGAAAGGAGGAGTTTCATATATTGAAGAGTTTCATATCTCTCACTCTAAATCAAAAGCTACAAATGATTAAACTAAGTGAGGAAGGTATATCAAATGCCAAGATAGACTAAAAGCCAGGCCTCCTGCACCAGTCAATTAAGTTCTGAATGCAAAGAACAGGTTTCTGAATGAAATTAAAAGTGCTACTGCAGTAAATACATAAATGATGAGAGCAAAACAGCCTTATTGATGATGTGACAAAAGTTTGAGTGGTCTAGATACAAGATCAAACCAGCCACAATATTCCCTGAAGTCAAACCCTAAACCAGAGCAAGGCCCTAATTGTCTTCAAATCTGTGAAGGCTGAGAGAGGTGAGGAAACTGCAGAAGAAAAGTAGGAAGCTAGTAGAGGTTGGTTCATGAAGTTTAAGAAAAGAAACCGAGGGGGCGCACCCAAGATGGCCCAATAGAAACAGGTCCAGCCTCCAGCTCCCAGCATGAGCGACACAGAAGATGGGTGATTTCTGCATTTTCAACTGAAGTACCGGGTTTATCTCACTGGGGCGGGTCGGACAGTTGGTGCTGATCTGCTGGTTGGGGTGCAGCTCAACCAGCAAGAGCTGAAGCAGGGCGAGGCATCGCCTCACCTGGGAAGCACAAGA